GAGAATTAGAGATATTTATTTAAATATACCAAACATTCACTGTCAAAATCCAAGATGGCTGCCTGTCGACCACTTTGTTTATCTGATCAGTCTCAAAATTGAACATGCACAACTAAAGACCAAGGGGAACCTACATAACAAATTTGAGAATTATATCCTCCAGTACTTCTTGAAAAAATAGCGATAACAAACATTCACTGTCAAAATCCAAGATGGCTGCATGTCGGCCATTTTGTTTATCTGATCATTCTCAAAATTAAACATTCATAACAAAAGACCAAGGGAAACCTACATAACAAATTTGGGAAAGATCCCTCCAGTTTTTAATGAGAAAAAGCGATAACAAACCTTTAATGTCACAATCCAAGATGGTGGGCTGTCGGCTATTTTGTTTATTCGATCAGTCTCAAAATTATACATGCACAACTACAGACCAAAGGTACCTTCATAGCAAATTTGAGAAAGATTTTTCCAGCACTTCTTGAAAAATAGTGATAACAAACATCACTATCAAAATCCAAGATGGCTGTCTGTTGGCCATTTTGTTAATCTGATCAGTCTCAAAAGTAAATATGCACAATTAGGGACTAAGGGGAACCTGCATATACAATTTGAGAAAGATTCCTCCAGTACTTCCTGAGAAATAGCGATAACAAACATTCACTTTCGAATTCCAAGATGGCTGACTGTTGGCCATTTTGTTTATATATGCACAACTTTATGGACCAACGGAAACCCACATATAAAATTGGAGAGATATCCCTCCAGTACTTCCTGAGAAATAGCGATAACAAGAATTGTTTAAGGATGGATGACTGACGTCGGACGGAGGACGGACCAAGGATGCAGGGTGATTTGAATAGTCCACCATCCAATGATGATGGGCTAAAAAACAATTTTAATAGTCACTACTGTAAAATGGAAAAAATTGGCCTGTGGTCTACAAACACCAAGTTAAGTGACAAAGGTATATGGAGGTATATATACATTACATTGTATATGTACCTGGTAATTTTTTGTACATTGAAAAAGTATCTCAAAATATATTTAACCCCTCAAAAATAAATCACTAGTATTTGTATCCCCTGGATAATCAAGGTAGATCACAGATTTCTGTGGGTATATATATATAGATACACCATTTGATCACAGGGGTTCCTTATAAATGTCTGAAATACACATATGCTATATACTGCTAAGGGTTACAGCATACATGTAATGGTTATATCATAGACTCGAGCGAATGTCGGTTATCACAACGAGAGGGGCGGGGTTCAACCCGAGTACGCGAAGCATACGAGTGTTGAGCCCCGCCCCTCAAGTGTGATGACTGACATATCCGTGAGAGCCTATGGTATAACTGTTTTGTCCGCATATAGTGTCACATGATTTGGTGTGTGTAAAAACCCAAATCTATTCAATCAGTCAAATTCTGAAGAAGAACCATTTGATGATTTTGACGACATACATTTATCACAACTGTAAAGTTACAAAGACGATGTGACCACCAACGTTGTTCGCAAAAGGCGTGGATGAACAGCTGATAATGTCCAGGACCGGTCATCGGAGTATGGCGGGTCAGAGCAGAGACGAATATCATATGTCTCTGGTCAAACCCTAAAAACGACCATGCCCCGCACAGGCGATGGAGGTTAGTAAAATGCTTGACCCTCCAAAATCAAAATTGAAAATAGAAACGGTGAACAACCCTTTGATGGAAAAGATACCCACAGACAAACTTCCAGTAATGTCGTTAACGGACGTTTTTGACGTACATCGGCAGGGCCAGGTTTTCCACAACTGCCAGGTTTCTTTCAATTTTACTACTAAATGAATGTTTGAAATTTTATTGAGTTTGCAGTTCAATGTGTACATTACAATATTATTGACTTTGCAGTTTAATGTGTACAATCAACGACGGTCTATCGTTTGAAATTTTATTGACTTTGCAATTATATACCATATGGTATAACTAAAACAGGTTGGTTATACCATGACTAGATCAAAGGAGAAATGACACGTCTATACGACAAATATAGCATATGTGTATTTCAGACATTTGTAATAATTTAATCCCTGTGATTTGACTGTGATACAGGGTCAAAGCTGTGGTCATTATAGCGCTGGATACTGATACAGGTGTCAAGGTCGGTGACTGATTACACCTGGTCGTGTACTACACAGACCAATCCACATGACATAATCTCTACAGGTACATGTCGTCTAGACAGTATAGGGCTGCTGATCCCAGCTAGTGTCTACGGAAATAACAAAACCCAGCTTAGGTCAACTCCGGGCATACAGGCGTCATTTACCTGCGCAATATGTAACTGATCATGAGGTCACAATTTCCAGGTGCCACTGCACTGAACCCAGGACTGCAACATTTTGATGATGCATGCATGAATTTGTAGTTTCTAAGTCAAGTTTACATTGTATGTAAGCACACATTCCTATTCAGGCTAACAAGTTTTACTAGAATTTCCCCATTATATGCTCCTGTTTTGTTTCTAAACAAATACATTGTACTACAAATATAACATATCCAGTGTTTGCTAAATTCCTGAGTTGATTAATGTGGGAGATTGACTACCAAGTGCAGGGATAATCCTGGAGGGGGCCATGGGGCCATTGACCCCTCAAAACTGAAATTGACCCCTCCATGTTCCAAGTTTCTTTTAATTTTACATAGAATTGCCCCTTCAGGCCAGGTTAGCTAAAAAGGGGTGGACTTATTAATGGGCATTTATATTTCTTTAAAACAGTATTTTTGCAGTTTATTTTTCCAGTTTTTATCTATATCATGTTAAAATTGTTTTATGCACAGAAAGTAAGGAAAGTATGGGGGGAGGGGGGTTATTACCAGACATGGGCTTATCATGAGTAAAGTACTGTAACTATACAAGCCAGCCCCTGGCACGAACCACAGTACAAATCAATTGAACAGAAGACTAGACTAGTGGCAGAAGTGGTCAAATATTGGCTATAGGGAATAAATCAGTCTCAGATTCTTGTATAATGAAAGTCCCTGATATTCAGTCATTGCAGATGTCATATGCAGGTAGATAATTTACATATTACCCCAGACTCAGATTGATATCTACTTCTGAGATATTGCATAAGACTTCACCTCCAATGGCTTGCGAAAAGACTTAAGGTGAGGACAAAATAAATAATCAATAAATAACCCTAGGACGTGAGAGTTGACAACCCTGCACATTTTATCAACAAGACAATATTTTTTTTCTTAAAAAACTATCTCTAGATTGTGATGGCAGATCAAGGTCTACCATATCAAGGTCTACCATATAAGTGAAATGTCTGAAGCCTGTGTCAAGGGAGATCTCTGACTTTGGAAATGGTATAGAAAAATACATTACGGTGTACAAAGAAACTTTACTGCCGAGAACTTCTCATTTGTGACATATTTTGTTTGCATTTGAAACTTAAAGTTGTATAGGACTTTGGCGGTACACATGCTTAAATCAGGTCGCTTTGCATAACATGTTTGTATCTTGTATAAGAGAATAGCGTGCTTCCACAGGGGATCGAACCCTCGATCTTTAGGTTCCTAGTCGAACGCTCTACCACTGAGCTAAAGGGAAATTCCCTCTAGTTAGAAGGCGACCTTAATCCTATGTACAATTAACCTGCCACACTACTCCCCCTTTTTTAAATGTGTTGGTCCTCAACACCACAACCAAGGTTCCTACTCCCTGTCACTACAGGGAGGGCTACGCACACCATTTGTAACAGGAAAGAGAAGTGTGTTTCCACCAGGGATCGAACCCTCGATCTCCTGGTTCCTAGTTGGACGTTCTAACTAGCTAGAAGGCGACCTTAATCGGGATCCTATGTACAATTAAAACCTGCCACATTGTTAGCTTTAACATTAAATTGCTCAAGCCATATGACAATATCAATATAAATCAAAGAGTTAAACAGCTTTGTCTCAATCATGTTTTTAATATTTATCATCAGTGCTGTCCAAAGTATATGAACAAAAGTTTTATTAGAAATAGCAATACTCGTTTTACAAGATCTTGCGAACACAATTTTTTAGTACAATCTATTAGGGGAGCTGAGTCCTCCACTTTTTTCTATAATGGAATCAAGAGACTGGAATTCTTTACCTACAAAAAACATCAATTTAAACTTCAGGTTAAACATCACTTGATGGAAATAGATAAGAGGGAACATCAAAATGAATGTCTTTTTGTAATATCTAATTACCTTATACCACTTAAAGTTAATAATTATAGTATTCATTATAAAAACCATCCTATCATTTTGACCGGTTGCTAATATTTTTCCAAAGCACCCCATTGGAAATATGTTTTTTCAAAACTTTCATAGGCCATCCTAGGTAAAAGATTACCAGTTCAAGATTATTTTTCACTGTCTGTACCTCCAATATTTGATATGATATTCATATAAACTGTGATAATACTACTACCTAGTGCTGAATATATGCTTTTTACTTGAAATTAATATAACTTTTTATTTAGTCATATGCATTTTGCGATATCTGAAAGTCAGTCTTTCATCAAATACCATTCTGTGATCTCATTGCTTGTGTAATGTAATTTTATGTTTGCCATGCATCTTTTACCTGAATAAACATTATTATTATTATTTTTAATATATCATCGGTTTTTCTTGACAGTTGTGTAATGTTTATTTTGTGTGTATTTATGTTTAAATTACCAAGCTATCCCTGAAGGATCTAACGAAAAGAAAAGAAAACACTATTGTGAATCCAATTGTGCTAGAATCAATAATCAGTCGACAGCCGGTGTATGCGTGGTATAACAATGATGATAACACTAAATGTGAATTACGTTCCGTGTATAGGCCTAGGCTGTGCATGACAATACGACGTCACACGTTTGTTATATTCAAACTATCAAATAAAGGATATCTATTTTCACAGTACGTTATAGATCGCTTCAGAATTAGATCTTCATAATATTTTCATTCATCTGAAACCCTTACTATACCTGTATTATCCGTTATTTCGCGCCTAGGAGGGGCACTGCTTTCACTGTTTTCTTCCATTCTGTGAGTTGGTTGCAGATCGTGCCGTCGCGAAGATACTTGATACAGTGGAGAGCTGTGAAGCGTTTTTATGACCCTACCCTGAATCTTGGGTGCACTCGATTTAGTTCTGCCGCTAGTCCAGTAGTCTTGCTTAGGCTGAAACGGTACGTGTGGCGCAGAAATTTTCCACGATTAAGCAGAGCTAAAAATGCACAGTTTCGGAGAATAAAAAACAATCTATCAAGAATTATATGCCCTTCTTTCATCCGTCCGCTTCATGGTTCACACAGAAGTTCCATCAGAGTGTTCTTACTTAAATGACTTTAATCAAGTTAACTACATTACTCATTGAACAACAGTAACAGTATTTGCGTCTTCTCGATAACAATTTAACACTAACGTATCGTTGAATTGTGTAAAAAAGTAATGATTTCTGTAATATTATCAAATTCTGCTATCTATATATGCCATATGAAGTCCAAACTTTGTCATTTTATCATTCATCACGGTTACACTCTGCCAAGTACACCCACTTTGTTATTTGTAAACAGGAAGTAAGTTTGACAAGCACGTGAGTATGAGTTTACAGACGGTTTCGTCACTTTTTGGTCTGAAGTTGGAGATCAATGGCTCAATCAAACTGACCTTTTATAATAACACCATAAAACGGAAATTAAAGTGGATATGTTATCCGCTGCGCAGGAACAGATTCTAAATAACGCCAATGAAGTCAGAGGCGACGCTGCATCGGTATCTAACGCTAAGGGGAGATTACTTATAGTTATTGTAACAAGAATTGAGAAAAGTGTGCTTTCACCGCCACCTGGGATCGAACCCTCGATCTCCAGGTTCCTAGTCGGATGCTCTACCAATGAGCTAAACGGAATTGAACCTAGAAGGAGACCGTAATCCTTACTATGTACAATTAAAACCTGCCCACCATGTTTAGCTCACTATGCCATGGTGCGGCGTATGTCGTCCGTCAACTTTTCCTTTGAACGACTTCTTCTGAAGAATGGACAGGTCTAGAGTCATGAAATTTGGGTGATAGCTTTGTTAATTAGAGCCCAACAAGTTTGAGAACGAAATTGACCTTGACCTTCTTTCAAGGTCAAAGGGTACAAAAGTGTTAAATACTTGAAATGTCTTCTGAAGAACTGAAATGCATAGAATCTTATTATTGTGGCTGGTTGCTTCTTGGGATTGAGCCCGACAATGTTTGCCAATGAAAATGACCTTGGCCTACTTTCAAAGTCACATGGGCCAAATCAATGTCAAACACTTCAAATTACCTCTTTTGAATGATCTGAAGGCATAGCATTATAATATTTGGCTGGTAACTGTCACAGATGGAGCCCGACAAAGTTGGCTATTGAAAATTACCTCAACCTACTTAAACTTTCAAGGTCACAGGGGTCAAATATAGCAAAAACTGCAAACAGATTCTTTTGAAGAAGTGAAAGGCATGGAGTTGTGATGTTTTACAAGTAGGTTCCTTAGATAGAGCCCAATAAAGTTTGCAAATGAAAATGACCTTAACCTACTTGATTATATTGCTTGATCTTAATCTAAGTTGATATAGAGTATCCTTGGCCCAACATGATTCAATGTTGTACCGTAAAAACCCAAGTAATTTGCGCACCTGTGTAATTTGCGCAGGTACTTTTTGAGGCTGAAAATCGGGAAAAAAGCTTCTACTCGAATATTTTGCGCACCCAAAAAATCTGGAAAAAAAACCGATGTTCATGCTCCGAAAATCGATCTCTGATTTTTAAAAAAAATATATTTCTATGATTTTTTTTTTCATTGATGTAAAATGATATTTAAAACCAAGAAGAAACTACCTAAAATGTGTATTTTGTTGCTTGTTTTCTTTGAATTATCTGATCATACATGACACGATGCTTCATTTAATAAATATTGAAATAATTCACGAGGTTATTGTCAATAACGTGTTTACGTAATGTTAGACGCGAGATCAACATGAAAGTGAGCCGTAAAAAAAACCATGCTATACGTTTACGCATAGGCGATTTGAAAAAAACTTACAGAACTTACATGGAACGGAGCTTAAATTGAACAACTACATTTTCGTAATAGTATGGGGAAACGCACCGAGATGTCGAAACGTAATGTCGTAAGTTGATCGGCGATTCTCTGGCATAGGAATTTGGCTAAACTTTTTTTGTTAACGGTTACCTATTTAATAATACTTTTCACATAAACTCACATAACAACACATTATGTATCTTTTATTAATGTTTGACATAAATAAATTTGTTGACCGTCATTTGTCTTAGAGTTCCGTGTATAATAAATAAGGGAAATAATCCAAGATGGCGATCTCCCAGAATCGTCGATCTTTTCCTGAAAAAAACTTGAAATTTTCTATACCTGTGTATTTTACGCACCCCCCACTTTGGGTATTAAATTTCTGAAAAAAAAGTGCGCAAATTACATGGGTTTTTACGGTAGAAACTATGCCCCCATCTCAATGGGGACAGGAGAATGGGACCCAATAAGATAAAGGTGTTGCTGAGAGACAGAGCCAATATTTGGAAATATTTGTAGTACTGTATAATATCTTTTTGATATTTTGTTATGACTGCTTAAATATCCAAGTGAGTGATACATGCCCTATAGGCCTCTTGTTTATAAATATGTTCACCCTCGAACACAACAACCCAGGTTCTAACTCCCTGTCACCACAGGGAGGGCCACAGACACCATTTGTAACAGGAAAGAGAATAGTGTGCTTCCAATGGGGATCGAACCCACGATCTCCAGGTTCCTAGTCGGATGCTCTACCACTGAGCTAAAGGGAATTCCCTCTAGCTTTAAGCTATAAGGCGACCATAATCCTATGTACAATTAAAACCTGCCACAGTATAATACTTACCAGCCGGTAGAGATATGGCGAAAACAGACCTAAATATCAAAATAATTACATAAATAAGATTTTTTTGCTTGCCAACAGCAACAGGTGATCGATACAAACCCATTAAGTTGTAGTCTACATGTAACTACATTCACCAGTAATGTTTTAAGAGTGGAGAATATATGTATATATATTGAAATTCCACATTGATATTTATATTTTTCTTTTACAGAATATTAAGATATAAAGTACATGAGACTCCACTAAGGAGGACTGTACTTTGACAGAAGAAGAAGAGTGTTGCCTTATCAGAATCAAGTGTGATGATGCCTGGACGAGTCAGCCATCTCTCCTTGTCTGTTTTGTGTTTTTTTGTTGTAACTGCAGTACTGCCGACAGGTAAAGGTTAAATTAACAGTAAATAAAACATATCAGCGTCAGTGCTATTATATTATATTAACATCCTAAAAGAGTACTGCACCAGACATTTTTTTCAATACTTCAATATTGTGGAGTCTCCTGCATTATTGCTGAAAGTCATATTAAATTGCTTCAATTTTATATTTGTATTTTACGTCCTATGAACAGCTAATTTCATTTAAGGACATGCAATGTTTTTATAGTGGAGGAAAGCCGGAATTCCTGGAGAAAAAACACAGACCGATGGCCATTACCTTCTATTTGATATGGGGACAGCACCTGAAATAATCAATAGCTATAATATTTGTAACTAATTGTGGGATGGTTGAGACCTGTATACATAATATGTACAGTAATTCATTTTAGTTGAGCTGGCTTTTTAAAATTTAGATATTGATGACATTTTTTACCTGCAGAGAAGTTTTTGTTAGGTGTAAAGCTGTACATTTGCTACTTAAGAATAATCAAGATCCCCACTGTATAACCACCAACACACAATAAGCATACAGAGAAAAATACATCTTTGTTACCAAGATTAGATCTTGGGTCCAGACCCATCCCTGGGTCTTAAATTATCTTCAAATGGACACTGTATCTTCACCTTAAAACGTATGTTTGCTGGGAATTAAGAGATAAGTTCATGCTACAAAGATCAACCTTAGAAACTGGCCTGGTCGGTCCCTAGAGACTTAGTCTCTAAACCAATCATATAAATGGTATGCAATTGCTAGGCATGAAGAGACAAACACGATGCTACAAGAATTGATTCCTGGGTCATCCTCATCCCTGATGACTTAGTTCCTGGGTCATAAGATGGAAATGGTAATTAGATTCCCACCTATTCTTACATGTATGTACAATTGTTCTGCATAAAAAAATACATTCATGTTACCAAGTTTGGCTTAAGGTCCTGACTCCAGCTTGCCCCCTCTCTGTGGACCTGGACCTGAGCCATTGCATGTTTACAGTTGAGATTGTTACCCTTCAAGAATGTTAATAATTGCTAGGCATGAAGAGATAAATATACTCATATAATATGATATCGGAATTGGCCCACCCATGGGTCCAAGGGTAATAGACCAGGCTCTTTAATTATTTACAAATACATACAAATATTGTAACATCCAAGGAATAAGATGACCTTACTGGAAAGCTAGCTTTTCCAGCGATGCAGTATAACCCTGGGATGTGCTTACTAGTTCAGCAACGTTGAGCTTGGTATAAGTGGCTGGATGGGTGCCCTACCGCTCTTGCAGGGTCACTGGGAAAATGTAGCTCCCACTTGGACTTATGGGTAATTCCAAAATGGAGTAATTGGATGTTAAGTATTAAAAGACAACTCCTCATGTTTCAATTAAATTTGCAATGAAGCATCAAGGAGACCAGGAAATTAAATTTCATTTAGAAGAAAAGTGTTGTCCCCTACCAGTGGCAGAGGCCAAAATGGGGAAATATTTGTAAAATTAGACTAATAATATCTTTTAATGAGATTTTTTGCCCCAATTACTAAATATCCAGGTGAGCAGCACACGCCCTACCTTTAATGCTGGATGTTGGAGCCTTTTTGACATAGAAATATCTAGCTTGTTGAAACAGATGTGTAATTATATAGTCTGTTTTAGGATATAAACAAGTTTGTTGATGCAGAAATGTAATTATACATATTGTAGTAGGCTTTAATAAAGTAATAGTTATACAAGTTTCAAAAAATACAATAACTGTGCTAAGATAGCAATATACAAGTTTAAAAAGAAATACAAAAACTGGTTTCAAAGGAGTTTAATACTTAAGAACCCAGAAAGCAAATATATTCTAGTTGCGAATGTTAAACCTGAGTTGAGCTTCATATAAGTTGTAACATTTAGAAGGATTTTGAGATTGATTATTTTGAAAATGTGATTTTTCCTTTCCTCAGCTAATGTCAATGCAGAGTCCAACATGAGACAGTGGGAAACTGTTGGGCCTAGACAGAATAAGACTGACAAGTTAGTGTGTTACTACCCTCTGCCTGACTCTCCCCCAAACACCACTATCCCCCATGATCTGGACCCCATGCTGTGTACACATGTCATCTTCATCCCAACGTCTATCAGTGCGACATGTGAGGTGTCTGCTGCACGCTCTTTTCACCTTGACCTCTTTGCCAAGGTCGTCCCTGCGATAAGGAAACAGAACCCAGCCCTGACGGTGATGCTGTCTAATGGGGGAGAGTTTGATCCAGTGCTTGCGTCCCCGTACAACATGTCAAGGTTCATCAACAGTACCGTACCCTTTCTGAGGAAGTATGACTTTGATGGATTTGACTTGGACTGGGAGTTCCCCGGCTGGAATGGTCGCCCTGATGGACAGCGCCACAATTTCTCTGTGCTCACTATGGTAAAGATTGGGGTCAGAATATATGTAGTACAATATCAGTGCCCGTTGAAAGTAAAAATGGAACTACTAGGTAATATATTTTATCATTGAAATATAAAGTTTCAACATGATATCAACCAGACTTAATAGTTGGTGATGTTTGGGAATACATAGATTACATATATATATACTCTTACCCTGGACAGGTGTTTCCAACTTTTCTCCAACCCTTCACAGGTTTGTCTCCCGTTTTAGCCGGGAAGGATCAGCTTGTCATCCTCTAGGGTGAGATAGCTAGCCTCGTGCTGATTGTGACGCCATAAAACTGTGTCACCGGTAATTGTGACATCAAAGTGAATGACGATATTCATACCTACATGTGTTTTTGTTTACAAACAGACTACTGTCGGTGGAGTTGTGACTGAAATAATAGGATATGGGAGAAAAATAATCATCCCCTACGTTTAAGCTTGATGGTGAAACAGAGAAATCTCAAACTCTCTGGGTTATCTTGTTTGCTTTTCTAACCCGAGGTTCTGCCGAGGGTTAGACAACCAAAAAACATCATTCCTCAGGTTGGAGATTTCTCTGTTACAACCTCAAGGAAGGGGAAGATTCTATTAGTCTCACCCTAGGGTTTAGACGGGGGGATTCCCCTTTTCATAAAAATTGTAAGACATCACTCCAACAATGCATCAACGTCACGCCAACCCTGCATCTAGCCTGTAACATTAACATTACATTATATATATGATACACAATTGGTAAACAGGGTGAGAGAAAAAGAATCATCCACCCCCTTGTGGTGAGATTAGGAATCTCAACCCTCAGGGAAAGATTGTTAAGTTACCAAACACTCGGCAAATCCTCATGATTGGCAACTTAAGAAAATTCCCCCTCGGGCTGAAATTCCCCATCTCACCCCCAAAGGTGTGAAAGATGCTATTAGTCCGTGGCTTACAAACGTTAGTTCTCAGAGTACAGATGCTGATATGACTATTAAATGGGTCACTGTAGACAGGTGAGATGGATCATGCTCATTGAGTTATGGATTATATTTTTATCTTCTGAACTATTTTAGGGACTGCGTGAACTGTTTGAGGAGGAGGCCAGACGGACATCAAAGCCCCGCCTACTTTTGACAGCAGCTGTGTCCACAGCCAATGTTATGTTGGGTATATACGAATTCCACATCCTGGCAAAGTGAGCAGCATTTTGATACACTGCTATCTGTAGGACTTGGGACTATTTTAACCTATATAATGGTCTTCATGTTTGTAAAAAAATCAAATTGTCATTTTTCTCTCTGTGTAATACGTTAACTGATTGTCTGAAAAGCCTGTAGGAGACCTTAACAATATGTAGTTACTGGTCCATGTTAACAATAGATTGTCACCGTCTCTGTCTATTTGTAGGACCCTGGACTATGTTAACCTGAAGGTCCATGTTAACAATAGATTGTCACTGTTCTCTGTCTATTTGTAGGACACTGGACTATGTTACCCTGATGGTCCATGTTAACAATAGATTGTCACTGTTCTGTCTATTTGTAGGACACTGGACTAAGTTAACCTGATGGTCCATGTTAACAATAGAATGTCCCATTCTCTGTCTATTTGTAGGACCCTGGACTATGTTACCCTGATGGTCCATGTTAACAATAGATTGTCACTGTTCTCTGTCTATTTGTAGGACACTGGACTATGTTACCCTGATGGTCCATGTTAACAATAGATTGTCACTGTTCTTTGTCTATTTGTAGGACCCTGGACTATGTTAACCTGAAGGTCCATGTTAACAATAGATTGTCACTGTTCTCTGTCTATTTGTAGGACACTGGACTATGTTACCCTGATGGTCCATGTTAACAATAGATTGTCACTGTTCTCTGTCTATTTGTAGGACCATATGTAGTTACTGGTCCATGTTAACAATAGATTGTCACCGTCTCTGTCTATTTGTAGGACACTGGACTATGTTACCCTGATGGTCCATGTTAACAATAGATTGTCACTGTTCTCTGTCTATTTGTAGGACACTGGACTATGTTACCCTGATGGTCCATGTTAACAATAGATTGTCACTGTTCTCTGTCTATTTGTAGGACACTGGACTATGTTACCCTGATGGTCCATGTTAACAATAGATTGTCACTGTTCTTTGTCTATTTGTAGGACCCTGGACTATTTTAACCTTATGGTCCATGTTAACAATAGATTGTCACCGTCTCTGTCTATTTGTAGGACCCTGGACTATGTTACCCTGATGGTCCATGTTAACAATAGATTGTCACTGTTCTTTGTCTATTTGTAGGACCCTGGACTATGTTAACCTGATGGTCCATGTTAACAATAGAATGTCACATTCTCTGTCTATTTGTAGGACCCTGGACTATGTTAACCTGATGGTCCATGTTAAAAATAGATTGTCACTGTTCTCTGTCTATTTGTAGGTCCCTGGACTATGTTAACCTGATAGTCCATGTTAACAATAGATTGTCACTGTTCTCTCTCTATTTGTAGGACCCTGGACTATGTTAACCTGATAGTCCATGTTAACAATAGCTTGTCACTGTTCTCTGTCTATTTGTAGGACCCTGGTCTGTGTTAACCTGATGGTCCATGTTAACAATAGATTGGCACTGTTCTCTGTCTATTTGTAGGACCCTGGACTATGTTATCCTGATAGTCCATGTTAACAATAGATTGTCACTGTTCTCTCTCTATTTGTAGGACCCTGGACTATGTTAACCTGATAGTCCATGTTAACAATAGATTGTCACTGCTCTCTGTCTATTTGTAGGACCCTGGACTATGTTATCCTGATAGTCCATGTTAACAATAGATTGTCACTGTTCTCTCTCTATTTGTAGGACCCTGGACTATGTTAACCTGATGGTCCACGTTAACAATAGATTGTGTCTGTTCTCTGTCTATTTGTAGGACCCTGGACTATGTTATCCTGATAGTCCATGTTAACAATAGATTGTCACTGCTCTCTGTCTATTTGTAGGACCCTGGACTATGTTATCCTGATAGTCCATGTTAACAATAGATTGTCACTGCTCTCTGTCTATTTGTAGGACCCTGGACTATGTTAACCTGATGGTTTATGACTTCAACTCCTTCAACTTGTTGAAGCCATTTGTGTACTTCAACTGTCCTCTGAAACCAGAAAGTTATGACAAGGAGTTATTCGTGACCAATAACCTGGTAAATATATGGACCCAACTCCTGGGTTTTGATAAATAGAAAACCCTGTCATGGCAGTTTTGTGTCTCGGTGATTATGTCTATTTGTAGGACCCTGGACTATGTAAACCTGATGGTCCATGTTAACAATAGATTGTCACTGTTCCCTGTCTATTTGTAGGACCCTGGACTATGTTAACCTGATGGTTTATGACTTCAACTCCTTCAACTTGTTGAAGCCATTTGTGTACTTCAACTGTCCTCTGAAACCAGAAAGTTATGACAAGGAGTTATTCGTGACCAATAACCTGGTAAATATATGGACCCAACTCCTGGGTTTTGATAAATAGAAAACCCTGTCATGGCAGTTTTGTGTCTCGGTGATTATGTCTATTTGTAGGACCCTGGACTATGTAAACCTGATGGTCCATGTTAACAATAGATTGTCACCGTCTCTGTCTATTTGTAGGACCCTGGTCTATGTTAACCCGATGGTCCATGTTAACAATAGATTGTCACTGTTCCCTGTCTATTTGTAGGACCCTGGACTATGTTAACCTGAAGGTCCATGTTAACAATAGATTGTCACTGTTCTCTCTCTATTTGTAGGACCCTGGACTATGTTAACCTGATGGTCCACGTTAACAATAGATTGTGTCTGTTCTCTGTCTATTTGTAGGACCCTGGTCTATGTTAACCTGATCGTCCATGTTAACAATAGATTGTCACTGTTCTCTCTCTATTTGTAGGACCCTGGACTATGTTAACCTGATGTAGGACCCTGGACTATGTTAACCTGATGGTCCACGTTAACAATAGATTGTGTCTGTTCTCTGTCTATTTGTAGGACCCTGGTCTATGTTAACCCGATGGTCCATGTTAACAATAGATTGTCACTGTTCCCTGTCTATTTGTAGGACCCTGGACTATGTTAACGTAATGGTCCATGTTAACAATAGATTGTCACTGTTCCCTGTCTATTTGTAGGACCCTGGACTATGTTAACCTGATAGTCCATGTTAACAATAGATTGTCACTGCTCTCTGTCTATTTGTAGGACCCTGGACTATGTTAGCCTGATGGTCCATGTTAACAATAGATTGTCACTGTTCTGTCTATTTGTAGGACCCTGGACTATGTAAACCTGATGGTCCATGTTAACAATAGATTGTCACGTTCTCTGTCTATTTGTAGGACCCTGGACTATGTTAACCTGATGGGTTATGACTTCAACTCCTTCAACTTGTTGAAGCCATTTGTGTACTTCAACTGTCCTCTGAAACCAGAAAGTTATGACAAGGAGTTATTCGTGACCAATAACCTGGTAAATATATGGACCCAACTCCTGGGTTTTGATAAATAGAAAACCCTGTCATGGCAGTTTTGTGTCTCGGTGATTAACTGTAGCATAATGATAAAGTTACTGTACTAATATAAACAGGCATTTTGTCAATACCACTCAGGTGAAAGGATATGGTAACAACTGATGTGTATGGCAACAAAACAGTTCAGCTTATCAGTTGAGGGAGATACTTCTTTAGAGGGGGGGGGGGGGGGGGGGGGGGGGGGGTTGTTGATATATCTTTATATGGCTTAACATTTCATAAATAATCTCTTTGCATCAATTTTGCCTTAAACATGAGTTGTGTTGTTAGTAAAATGATGCTCTATAAACTAGAATTGAAGTTGAAGTATGATATTGTGGAAGGTAATGCTTTATTCAAACTATTAAACTTTCATAAATATTTGAAAATTACGATATCATTGTTAAGATTTCTGCTCCCACAGATCCAAATCCAAAAGTGAACTCCCGAAAGTGTCATGATCAATAAGTTTCATGTCATTGAACAGGTCTAGCTAAAACAGAAAAATAGAGAACAAACAGGCGCACTGAACTATGTTATAATGGCAGTTTTGAAAAACATATTTAATTTTCACACACTTAGACAAATTAAAATATTTAAAAAAAAAAATGATACCTTGAGTTGAAATTTTGTTCTATGTGAATTATCTAGACTTAGTGCAACGAAAAATCCTGTGAAATTGAAATGGAGATACATTTTACATAAATTTGATTTCAGGAGTGGGCATCACAAGAGTGGGTTCGTAGGGGAATCCCGATAGAGAAGATGTGGATTGGAATGCCAACCTACGTTCATACCTATACTCTGTTGTCTGAGTACTTCACTGCTCCAGGCTCACCAGCCCGTGGGAAAGGCCAGTGTGACTTCTGTGGCTATACATACGCCTGTCAAATGCTGAAGGAGAATGGGACGCGTGTGTTTGACAAGGGTGCCAGGGTCCCTTACGTCTACCGAGGTGACCAGTGGGTTAGCTATGACGACGTGGAAAGTCTCACTGAAAAGGTAAAGTTGTGGGGATCTGTCTTGGATAAAGTTAGACAGGGATTCAAAGAAATCCTATCTGGGTATCTTATTTATTTGAAATAAAATGTTTGGCAGTTTTATAGTCACATAACACATTAAAATAAATTCAAAATCCTTTTTATCACATATGAATCCAAGGATATAGTGAATATTTTGAAAATGATAACATTTGTTTGGACCACTGTTCCTACGTAAATTCAACATGTACATTTTTGTGATATATTGAATGTAAGTGTTAAATAATCTCAGTGGCCAGTGCCAAGATATGTTTTGGTGGCATACATTATACATGTACAATGAAACCTACTCATATCACATGTCACCGTTCATGTCTTCTGTGATTAAGGAATAATTATTTGAAGAGTCTATGTCTCAGAAAGAACATCCTTGAACACCATCTGATGTGTTTATGTCAGTTCTTTTGTAACCCAGACCCCTGAGAGAGGCTCTCAGTGTAGAATGATTGAAAGGCCTTTGTTCTATATTTCAGGCGCAGTGGGTGAAGGATCACGGGTTTGGAGGTGTGATGGTGTGGAACATGATTAATGATGATACAGAAGGTATCTGTGACGGGAAGACTAAATGGCCACTTATCAACGCCATCAAGAAAACACTGTTTGGGGTGTAGGATAAGTTGGAACCAAGGAGTATACGGGATTAAGGATTACTTCAAGTCTAGGATTAGTTGGGACCAAGGATTATACAGGATAAAGGATTGCTTCAAGTCTAGGGTTAGTCGGGATTTAGGATAAGATAAAGTCTAGGATTAGATGGGGCCTAGGATTATATGGGATTTAGGATAAGATAAAGTCTAGGATTATATGGGATTTAGGATAAGATAAAGTCTAGGATTAGATAGGGCCTAAGATTATATGGGATTTAGGATTTGATCAAGGCTAGGATAAGTTTGTACCAAAGATTATACAGGATTTAGGATTAGATCAAGGCTAGGATAAGTTGGGACCAAAGATTATACAGGATTTAGGATTAGATCAAGGCTAGGATAAGTTGGGACCAAGGATTATACAGGATTTAGGATTAGATGAGGCCTAGGATTATATGGGATTTAGGATTAGACTGAGTCTAGGATTATATTATTTGGGCCTGAAATAAACTGAAATTTAGTATTAGTTGGGACCCGAGTTGGTTTGTGTGTTCTACTCACAATTTCAAACTTATTAAGTTGTTTATATAAATATAGTTATAATTATATGGAGCAGTATTATTTTGGCAAAATCACGAAAAAAACTTTTAACCAGAAACATAAATAGGTTTTTGTTTTAAGGTGAAATTCTGATGGAAAGGGTTAAAATAAGATCAACATGTTTGACATCTCTTTAAATCCTTAACATTGTGGGTATGTGATACCTTATTTTTACTAGAAGACAGGTAGGTATCATGTCTGGTTAACATAGATCAGTAGAATAACAAATACCTAACCAGATACTGGTTGTTGTATCTTGTCAATTTAAATCTTGCCAATATTACGAGGAGATATTTAACATACAATTGCAGGACAACAGCTAATTCACCTGCATCTTTGTTGTCATTTCAAATCTTGCCAATATTGTTAGGAGATATTAACTTTAGGTTTAAGTATTAACTAACCTATTAAAGTTAGGTTCATGTTTTTGTCAAAAACATATTTCATATTAGGTTTGTGTTTATGACTCTTTCTATCTACACAGTCAACAGGCAGTGTACCAGAGGGTATTTGCAATAATCTGACATTAAGTCACAATTTCACATTTTGAGGACAAACTATTACCATTATCAGGCCATTATGTGCCTTATTTAGGTACAGTACTCTCTAGGACTTGGTGAATAGTGACTAGTGATTAGGTACAAATTCTCGTTTGTTTGGTTGGGAATACTGATGATAATTATTTTGGTGTCTCCTCGGTTCCTCTTGTTCTGATTTTGTATTAGCTAATATGATGGTGTTTTTTTCTTGGTGTGTAAATGTTATGGTAAACTTTTGAAACCAAAGTTTCCAGCCAATGGAGAGCCAACAACAGTCTAGAGTTAAGGAGGTTTGACTAGTTTGAGTATGACTATATCGTAAGCGTGCAGAGTGATTGAAGTAGAAAATATAAATATTTAGGCTAGGGATCCACTCCCACTATGATTTAGTAATTGGTCAGCGCTTTTTGCTGTTATAGATGAGATCTAATCAGTATAATTAACTTTATGATACAATGTTTGGCCCTGTGATACATTGCAGAAGGTTTGATTATTGTGATGGTATAAAGATTTAGAAATACTAAAAATGCTGAAGACTTTTGTTGGCTCTAACTCACGTATTATCAGAAATATCAGTTCCAGAATGATGTTAAAATGTCTATTTTTGTTTTGATCTTATATCACTCATTACCACATTCCTAATGCATGTTTTTGAAGTTGTATTTTTACCTTTTAAAGTTTATTGTATTGGTGCCATAATATTTATTTAGAAAATTATTTTATTTTCTCGCCTTTTTGCACAATGAAAAATATATATCGTATGTTTTAGAGCACTGTAATTCCTAAAACGAGTGGGATTAATATGTTCCTGAAGTTTTTTTTCTGATAGCTGTTAAGATGACTTAAAGCAGCATATTACCACAAATCCAACTCTCCTACTATCCAGTATTGTAAATCAAGCCACCACAACTCCAATTGGTCTACTACCAAGCCACTCTAGCCACTCCGTTATAAAGAACAGGTTGATTTGTTAAGCCCACTATCATCAGGTTGTTTGAATCAGAGAAAAGTGGCCTTTAGGCTATCTTTGATTTTGTACAGATGCAGGTATTCCATAAGGTTGTAACTGCCATTTTTTAGAAAAAATTTGTTTGTATAAATAAGTCCTAGTAATCCAGCCCTATGACAAACCTGCCAATCTTACTAAGGATGAAGGGTATAGGATTTACAGTAGGGAATGAGGATGACTGCATTATCTACTATGAACAAAGAAGGCTGGATTATATTTTGGGAATGAAAGTTTCTGAATTATCTTCTGAGAACAAAGATGGCTCTATTATCTTCTGAGAACAAAGATGGCTCTATTATCTTCTAAGAATATAGTGGCTGTTTTATCAACTGAGAACAAAAGTGGCTGGTTTTCCTCCCATCATTCACAGAATTATATACAGTTTGCCTGTTCGTAATTCTTCTGTCAAGCCCTTTGATTGGAGATTTCTCTAGTCACCCCTTCACACAAGGGAAGTTTCGGTTTATATACCGAGAACAAAGGAGGATGGATTTGACTGGATTATAAACACAAAATCTATGCACATATATATTACGCACATTACCTGTCTATGTACTAATGTGATTTGTTAATCCAGAAATAAACTTGGCAGCTGTACTTGTTGGTATATACCTTCACAGAGATCTGTTATGTATATAATGCTGAAATAACACACAATTTGACTTAGGTAACTTAGGGAGGTCAGATGATGCAGTAATTAGTAACACTCCCCTTCCACTAAGTCCCCCATGTTAAAACCACAGCTATGCTTCTATCCAAACCAACAAGAGTGATTAATTTAAGTTTTTAACTTGTTTAAAACTGTTGTAAAATAAATTTTATTTTTATACTACCAAGGGTTTTATGTTTACCTCTCAAGGAATGTAATTACGACACTAACATGTGGTTACACTCAGGGATACAGTGACAACCTAATTATGCCGTACTGCTGCGTCCATCGTCCGTCTGTCGTCCATCGTCCGTCTGTCAACTTTTTCTTTAAACGACTTCTTCTAAAGAACTAAAGGACCTATGGTCATGATATTTGGCCAGTAGGTACCTGGTATGGAGTGCTATAAAGTCTCATCATTAAAATGACCTTGACCTACTTTCAAGGTCGCAGGGGTCAAATATGTTCATCAATATCCTAAGAACCATTTGGACTAGAGTCATGATACTTGGGTATATTATGAAGACCAGCAGTGCAAATCTTTTTCTTTGTTACAGTTATGAGGTCAAATGTCAACATGGGTTAAAAGCTTTAACAATCTTCTGCTCAAGTTCCATAAGGCCCAGGGTCATGATATTTGGCCAGTAGGTACATGGGATTTTATGCAAACCAATGTGAAGGGGTGAATGGTGACAGTGTGAATTATGTCGAACATTAATGTTAACATTGAGGACAGTAAACTATGATCTTACAGTTATCTGTTATATATACTGCCTTGTTCCTATTATTTACTGATCTGTTTTATTTACTGATTGCTTCATTCTTGTTTTATTATTTTCTGATAATGTATTGTTACTTTTAGTGCAATGTTTACATTTTCAAATGTTAATTAATCAATTTGATGATATTTTGGGTATATTCTATCTCTTATCTACAATTTCTTATTTGCTTGTTTGTATTAAAAGATTAAAAATATGGTACTCTTATCATTGACTTTCCTTTTGTATATACAATGTAACTAGATTTGTATCACTCCACCATTTTAACTGTGCTGGTTCCTCCAAGGTTGCTGTATACCATGAAACTGTTTGTTGGTTTGGGTTGTAAACAACCATGGAGGACGATTTGTTATGGTATGGCCTACATGCATGAGAAATGCCCTTGAAACGGTCTTATTTTGCTCTGTCAAGAATTTTAATTAAGTAGGTTGCTGTAACTTAATTTTGGTATTGACACTCTGTTTTCATTGAATGTACCAAATATTTAAAATTATCTTTAAAGTTTGATGATTTCACACGAAATAATATTTAAAAAGTGCTGCAGAAACTACATTCTTTTTATGAAGGTCAGTACAAATATAGGTTGCTGTGACCTACTTTTTGTTCACGACACAATCTTCTCTAGGTAAAATATCTTGATGTCTGTAAGAGGAATCATACACCTCCAGACCCCAGAGTCTGGCTAAATGTAACCAATGTTGTGTGAAAAATTCAAATTCAAAGCAAACTTAATCTTAAAAACATGCCAATCTGTCTCAACCAAATTTAGTAACTGGGGTCAGGCTTCAATGTAACTCGACAATCTCATACCAAACATAAATTGCTTACTTTATTCATCATAGTATCACATCATATAAATGTCTAGCTATAAAGTCTGTAGTGTTTGAATGTAAATCTTGGGTTGTGGTCTTGTCCAACCCCGTCACAATGTATGAGTCGCACATCAGAACAGTACCAACAAAGTCGCAGGCTGTCTTTATACTGAACTTCTTGGATTTGTAGTCATCAAATATCACAGACATGTTCCCCCTAAGCTCCAAGACTGGCTGTTCCCCATAGTCAGACAACTGGTCCCTTCCCAAACCTGTGTTTGTATCCTGAATGTCCATATCACTTGGAAGTTGCTTATCGCTGTTGCTAGGAAACTTCAAATGATGTACATTCTTAATTTGGTTACTATGGCCAAAGTCGTCTCTATGCATATTTTCCAGAACACCATTGTGATCTTGACCTTGACTTATGTTACATTTAAACACTGTTTGACCTACATTTGTCAATCGGTCAGCCTCTGTATCAACGTGCCCTTTGATTGGAGGAGGAGGATCTCTGTATCCTGGATCTTTGATTGGATGAAGATTTGAGTGACCTTGACTTTTGATTGCAGGAGGGTCTGAGTGAACTTGACCTTTGATTGGAGGAAGCTCTGTGTATCCTTGACCTTGGTTTTGAGGAGGATCTGAGTGACCTTGACCTGTATTTAGGTTGACGATGATATTATAATCATGTAGTACTGCAGCCATATCTTGTAGAACATATTGTAGGTGGTGATTGGAGGTTACAGCATCGTCCTGAGTTACAGCAGCTGTAAGTAAAGACCAAGTCACTCTACAGGCAAATCTAGTTAAGTCTGACTTAATTTGGTGACATGAAACAACTTTCTCAACATTTTACAAATTAATGACCTTACATGTATCTCTGGTTATCAGAAATGCTGTCAGATTAGGTAATTAGAAATCTAACATCATGCTTGTGCATAATACACAATATTGTTCACTAACTCATATGATAGAGATTTACAATCAAAAACACAATACATTACCATAAATCCCTTGTGTGATATCATTTATAAACTTTGCTTTTGTACTTTGTGTAACATCTTCTTTTAACTTACCAGAGCTTGAAAGTAAAGCTTGACTACACAGCTGTTCCGTTCTACCCCCTCCTGGAAGGACATGTCCTGAAGAGAGGAGGGAAGACAGAATGTTGGCACATCGCCAGAAGTCCTGCTCCATCAGATCCCCACCTCCTGTGGTAGGGTGACTGACGACACAAGTCTGAAATGAATGTAGAAGTATTCCTTAACCAGTAACACAGGAAGTAAACATGCTGTTGATCTGCATTACAATAGAGATAACTTCAAGCAGTCATTGCTGAAGGTTGACATTGATATGATGGAGAAATTTTGATCCTCTCACAGAGCATATGCAAAAGACAATTTAACATATCACTGAGAGTTAAAAATAAAAGAATTATAACGGGCTGATTTCTGATTGTGTGACAGTTCTTAGTTCCATTACATTTCTTCTGTTCAATGATTAAATAAATATAGACTGATAATTCGATGAGAGCCATGTGTACCTGGACAGGTGTGTTATGACAGGTCACCTTCACAAAGTTGGCCTGACATCCCATCATCCTCTTCTCCGTGTAGGTATCCATGGAAACACTGGCACATACGTTGGTCTGTTAACAAACATGACAAATTATCATTACAGCCATATCAGAAATGAACTGCTTTTATATAACAGTTTCCTTAAGTTTATTTCCAAAACCTNCCCGAAAATGCCCCTACTCTTAATGTCAATGTCATTACATGCTTAAAGGTCCATCAACACAGGAAGGTCATTAGCACCAATAAATGGTTGGATGCAATGTGTATTACAAAGGGAGATAACCCAATTTCCATAATAAACTTCAACTGTACGTGTTACCCAGGGACTATCTAATTCCATACTCTAAAAAGCTACTATCTGCAATGCATTGATCTTTTCTATTCCAATTTAATGTATGAAAACATTTTTCAGTGTTTAATAATGTAGTAATGAGTTGATGCCAATTAGGACATTAAATGATTGTATACAGATTACAGTGTATTCCTCACCTGCAATTTCATATTAAATTGGGGGTATGCTAATGATACAGGGGAGGATTAACTTACCTTCTCAGTCATTGACAGATAGGTAGTCATGCTGGTTACTGTAGCTGTACACATCACCTGTAATGCCTTATATGGAACATTCTCTACAGCAATGACCCCAAATGTTTCACACATGACCTTGACCTCATCACAGATTGAGCCACGGACAAGCAGACATGTAACAGAGAACTGAAAAAACACAATTTCATACTTGAATACAGACTCAATATGGATCCAGAGTTCATATATAATACAATCTGGTGGCAATTTTTCTGACAAGATGAGTCAACTTCTTAAATAAGTGAAGTTAAATTTATTTTGATTTTCTGGTGTACCTGGTAATAAACTATTCATGTTTCTCCATCTACATCCAAAATTGTATTGTGTATCCACAAATCCATATATGTTTACATCAATATGGTGACAAGATAAGTTTCTATTCCAATACTTCCTGGAACCTGTGTAACATTATCTGTAATACCTTGTGGAGTATTTCTGTCACATCACTTAACCAGCCTGACCCCTTATCAGCCTGGAGGAAATCTTTAGCAGTCATCGTTTTCTGGACATCCAAGGGACGTTTATATCCAATGTGGCGATAAGTTGGTTTGATATCTCCATTGATCATCTAGATTTATACAAGGAAATAACAGACACAAAAGGTCAATTAGTGATCGACAATCCTGGCAGGACTCAATGGTTACTGCATGTGTTACTACATGTATATCATTCGGTGTTAGAATCAGTTTGAAATTGTTCATGTCAACATAACTGCTGTAATTATCCGAACAGTAAATGTCACGTAAGACATTAAACTTCTAATTTTAGCAAGCTGTAAAAGTTTGAAAGTAAGAAGATTTTAAAAGTTTCTTGACTATTATGACCTATACATGTTTAAATTTGAACCAAGCCAGTACTCAAAGTTGACCTTAAACTTCAACATTATGATAGGAAAGAGGAAGATTCTCACTGCAAGTCTACATATCATACCCAAAAGTGATGGCTTTATCCTGATCTTATATGTTGTTGAAATTTTTAAACATATTTGAACCTAAGTTCTTGAAAGAGGGTCAAGGTCGTTTACAGAATCTATTTTTTGCACTTCATACAAAGTACATACTAGCCAAATAGCAGGAATTTGTGGTTTTTAGGTTTTCGCCATTACCGGGTAAGTCATTTTAATGAAAAAGATGAAAGACACCACAACATATCATAAGCTCTAAAGAATGTGAAGAATTACAATGAGTGTTACAATAATTATAATAAAAATTTGAGGTTCTTATATACCGCTTTATCACAATCTAGTTCGTAGGTCGTCTCAAAGGGGTTCACAAATTATTATCCGTAGTTAAAGGGCCTGTGCAACCAGCCAATATCTTTCTCAGCTCCCTGGGGAGCATACAGCCGGTGCTGCCATTTTGGCACTCACAGCTAGCATTCTTCAATTCTAGCACTGCCCAACCACGTATTCATTTACAGCTGAGTAGACTGGAACAAGCGGAGTAAAGTATCCTGCTCAAAGATACAACACAGTGCCATGCCGTGACTCGAAGCCGCAACCCTTCAGTCATTAGCCCGGCGTCCTACCACTGGATTACCGTGCCTCCTGTACAATATTTCCTAAACATACTACAGTTGTCAATGCATAAGTGCTTAAGAAAAATGTACATGCAAATAGAGTATTGCTTCACCATAATAAGGACTAGAAAAAAAGAAATTCACTAATTTGATAAGATGGTACCTATAGTCTCTAGGTTTAGTTTCTTACAATTGTATTGAGTTTTCTGCCCTTGTATCGATGAACTAGTGGTAAGTTGACAACATGAGCAGTCATGACAACTCCAGACACAAGCTGAGGTATAGCTAAGGGACCAAGAGTTACACAACAATACAGCAGGTCCAAGGTCAAGCTGAAACAAAGTCATGGTCATTAGTTCGCAAGGTTACAATTAAAATTTCTATATTGTTCAGCAAAGGGCAGCTTCTCCTACAAGATGTTCTGACTACCATGCTAAGTTCTACACACGAAGATAAATATCATGTCTATATCATTTGAACTTTTCAAATACATATATTTATTATTTTTCAAAACCAGAAAAAAAGTTGCGTGATGGAATATCTTTTCAATTTTTTTTCTCAGTTCATTACCACAGTGGAAAATGCCCTGTATATAGGAATCAACGCACAAACAGAGACACATAATAAAATGGCAGTAAAGTTAACTGAATGCTATGTGATTCAGTAATTGGGTTTTTTTCTGACCTATTTATATGTTTTATGTGTCTGGGATTAAGAACTCTCGTTAGCAGATCCAGTAATACTACCTGGCCCGGTTGATATATTGGCCTCCCTCTGTCCTCGACTGCGACATGGCAGCCTCTACTAGAACATCCATCATACCCTCGTCACTATGACTCGCATTCCTGGCCACGACCCTCAGCCCTGCCCATCTGTCAATCTCTTGTCTGGCTGTACATGTACACACCTTCCTTCTATTTATAGAACCATGCTTAGAGTCTACATCACAGCCCTGATTTGCCATTGCCACTGAATCTGACATCATTTGTGTACACATTCCTATTTCTTCCTCATTCTGAACCGATGTTCTATCCAAACTTTTGACCTCTGAACCCTGGCCTGGTTGTGCTGGAACAACTAGTTCCTGACTTTTAACCTCTAACATCTGATATGCTTTTGATGCCTCATCATTTTCATTTCTCAGTATCAGATTGTCAGAACATGTCCTATCATTCTTAATACGCTGATCTTTGACCTCTAACCTCTGAACTTGTTCATTATCATTCATACTCTGTCCTATCTCTCTAAAGTGTCGACTCTGAAGCATCGCCCCAGACACTTTCCGTGACTTTGCCTTCTCAAGTAAAATGTCAAGCTTTCTCCTCAAAGCTTCACTGCCTGTGTTTATTGTATCTAGTGTTTTTGTATTCACTTTGTCCTGTGTGTCTCCAGAAGGTGGTTGGTTTAGACTGACCTCACTCTCACTATGCAAACTGTTCATTTTGTCTTGTGATATACCAGTTTGATTTTGAATCACATTTCTTTGACTTTGACATTTTAGACCTTGTCCTTGAGAAGTCAATGCCAGACGTAGATGATCATAGTTCCTAGGAGGTGTGACACAATGGGAGTCACCCTTCTGATCTGTACTTAATTCATTCTGCTTGTGTATGTCTATTGTTGATTCTACTGTTTTGAAGTGGCGACTGGAATTATATAATAATCTGTGTTTCTCTCCCATAGCTATTGTCTTTCCTTTTAATATATCCTGTAATTTCTTTTCCATATTTTTAGTCTCTGGCTGAATATCACTGGAATTTTTACTCCTGTCAGGTGGATATTGACCTAAAACTCCTTGACCTCTGACCTGTTGACCTCTTATTGTCTGCTGGCCTTCATTTAAGGGTGTCCCAGCAGTACCTTCATTATTATCATATTCCACATCAAAACAAGAATCAAACTCATCCTCCACATCGCCAGCTGTACTTTCCTGTCTTGTATGATTTTGACTTGGTTGTGTAAGATCTGGGACAACATTCCTGATTTCCAAAACATCAAATGAATTTTTAAATGATTTGTTTGAAATGTTGCAAACGGGTCGCTCTGTAGTCCTGGAATCAACGGAACCTGACTTTGTCAGCTCAAACTTGTGAACTTTGGGAATGTCATCAAAACAGTCGTCAAAATCTGAATCATCTGCGTGACAATGGGTTTGGTTTACTACTTCCCTTTTCACAGAATCACTTGTTTTGTTTCCAAGAAAATCTGGTTTTGGAAGACCCTGAACTTTATAATTATTAGCAATGTCAAAACCTTGAATGAAGGGGTCATCTTCAAAGAACCAATCCAAATCCTCTCCAGGATCTACCTTGTTCTCCTTCAGGGTAAGCTGGGCCATGTCCACAGTATGTACAGCTGACACTGGAGAGGTATCTGATTTGGTAGGTAAATGTGTTATATCACATGGTAATTGTCTGACCTCACTTTGATCGGTTACGGACATGTTTCTGATACAATGATCCACATCTTGACCCACTTCTGTTTTTGTCACAGCATCCTCTCCATGTGTTGGCTGATCCTCACTGCCTGGTGAATGTATATTACACTGGCATTGGTCACATGACTGTATGACATCAGAGAGTGGTAATTTGACCTCCTCCATGACCTTTTGACACTGCTTGACCCCTTCCTCCATGCCCGACATGATGTCACACACAGGTATGGCCTGCGAAGAGAACATGAATTATTTGTCTAGTGGGGTTTTAGATTTCAGAGATATAAGAGAAGTTCCAAGTACAAACAAAACTAAAATAACTCATCTCAGTCCTTATTAATTTGACCATATTACAATTCTCCAGTGAATAGTCAACATTAGAAATAGAGCAGACAATTCTCCAGTGAATAGTCAACATTAGAAATAGAGCAGATATCTTAATTACATAGCAGATAATTAACACTACAAATAGATCAACGAAGTTCACTTTTCTGAAAACTTCTTCATTTTATACCTTTTCCCGCTGAGAGACAGCCATCTTCATCAGTGCCCCAATCAGAAAGAGGAGGGTCTTGACTCCATTTCCGTGACTATTGTGGAATGATTGACAGGTGTTGACAAGGTACTGGCCCACAGGATGCTGTAAATGTATACCATGTCATAAGTACTAAATATGTTAAAGCTATTTAACAATGGTAACACATACTATAAAATATCAGGACACCAATTCTTACTGAAGTCTATGGATAATGATGAGATTTTACAATCGTAGCCCAGAACAAAATATTTTCTGACAGATCAGCTAAAAGTCACCTCAAGATCAGTCTGAACTCAGGTCTTCTGGTTTGTTGGTCTGATTTGTTATTGATCCTATAAATGGACAGAAAATCCAATAGTCTCCATAGTTCAACTTGGATTTGTTTCGGTAACCAACCATTTTTTTTACTGATCAAGAGGCTTTGATTTATCTCTGGAACAGTTTATTTATCTGAACAGTAAGATTTATTCAAACCTTAAGCAATAGCCAATCTGAGAAACAGCATTCATTGACAGAGCGAGACTAAGACATCTCATTGGATAAAACCTCATTAAACCATATTTCATATCTTACTTAGTAAAGTTCTGTTTTGAATGTATAACACAGCCAAATTCTTTCAGGTAGCTATAGCTATAAAGCATCTATTATTTGGTAGGAGCTTTATTTCTCCCACCCACCCTTCATAGGTGTGTCTCCCGTTTGAACTGGGAAAGATCAGCTTGTCACCCCCTAGGGGGAGATAGCCTGGTGTCGACTAGCCCATGTTCAATTGTAACATTAAAATGTGTCACCGGTGTAATTGTGACGTCATCAAAAGTGAATGACAATATTCATACCCCACATGTGTTTTTGTTTACAAACATGACAGATTATTGTCGGTGGAGTTGTGACTGAAATAATAGGATGGGTCAAAAATAATCGTCCCCTACCTTGAAGGTGTAACATAGAAATCTCCAACCCTCGGGGTGATTTTGTTGGTTGTCTAACCCCCGGCAATATCTAATATACTGATCTCTGGATATTTGCTCAAGTGCCATGTTAATCATATTACGAATTTCATGATTGAAATTTGTATGATGTATCATAACCCCAGCACTGATCGCAACCTGGCTATGGTTTCATAACATACCTTTGCTTAAGTTAAAATTTGTCCATTATATAAGTTTAAGCAATATTTCCCTATGATTAAATTTATTTCAAGGAACAAATCTGAAATTTTCTACATTCCATGAAACGGAAGTCTAGTGCATTACCGATCTCAGCCTGATCCGTTACCATTCTATGAATATCAAGTTGTGACTTCGTTTGCATGAGAATAGTTACTGAAATCAATCTGACAGAATAGCATCACTCTGATATGTTACCTCATCTGCTAGCAGTGTTTACTGTCTGGGTATTAGTTACCTCAATATCCAGGTTCTGCAGTACCAGGGAGGCTGACCTCAAGAAAAGTTCTTTGTCACCATCAACTATGCACTTTAATCTGCAAGTAAATCACCAAAGACTCTGATGTTAATTTTTGCTCTTCATGTACTTTTACGCTATCAACATTTTTAGTATTTTTATCTCAAAACATTCTAAGAACCATAAAACTGTGGCAGCATTTATGTGTATCATATTAGTACAGCTCAAAAGATCTGTACAAACAGTTCATACACAAAAATCATGATTAATTTCATGAATTTCTCTTCTTTAATGAAGTAAATAAAATTCAAAATATCATCTGACTTCCATTATCTGATCTGCATTTTGATATCCGTTAGAAGATATATACAAAAGCATACTGAAAAGAGTAATTATTTTCAAATGCAAATCTTGATTAGTTTACAAAGTTACACTTTGCTGTAAATGATTGACCAATATAACTCTGCATAAATGTACGATGGCATATAAGAAGTATTATGTTACAGATTGTTATTAGGTTTCAGATAGGCCCCAGTATATATAAATAAGAGAGAAATTAATCACAGTAACAAAAAAAAAATAGTATTATAACTTACCCATGTCTCACACCCAATGAAGAATTGAACATGGAGGCTGCAAGTTGAAATCATGCATAATAGTTATCTTTAACTGCATATTGCATACAAGTAATCTAACATTGAGTAAATGTTATAGCTTCTTTCTGATTTTTTCTTCTTCAATTTTTTTTCTTCTTGATAAGACTACTCTACAGACTGAAGTATATATATCACACAATCAAAGCATTCAAAGAAGAAAGAGAAACTATACTTCATTTCTGACATACAAATTTCTGAGGGAAACAAAATCCTCAAAGCATGTTAACTGAAACTGAAATGATTCTTGGAAAATCAGAAAGAGAGCTCTAAAAAGTTATTGTTACCTCAGTGCATCAGTCCCATGTGAACTTGGATGCAAAACACAATAATTCACAAGTTAGCTTTTTCAATGCAGGATACTTTTTTGAAGTGATGTTATGAATTTTCATGAACAGCATTAGTTTAAGTAAATGTGTTTGTAACAGAGATAAGAATATACATTCCATTAAGCTAGGATGGGGATGTAGGACTGAGAGTGTGTACAATATGTCCCAATCTTACCCCACTGGGTACTCATTATTCTCAATTATTGTCTACGAAAAAGATTATTACATACAAACATTATAATAATTTGAAAATACACAGCCGATGATTTATAACATAATTAATTTACCGTATGGTAAGTAATTGACCTTTTTGCCTTCTAACATTGTTGGAGTACAGTGACCTATGCATATAACACTCATTATGGTCAGAACACAGGACCAGAATCCATGAACAAGAGGCCTTTATAGCTCACCTGGTATTTTATTTTTCAATTTAAAACCGGCTGAGTACCATACAGGTTTATCAAAGGAGTACAAGAAACAAAGTTGCAAGAAGAACTACATATAAATCTCTTTTGGTGGGAAAGACACCAAGAAAATGAGTTTCCATGTTATGTCCCAATTTTCCTCTATTTCCCCTATTGTGTCTCACATGCACCTTTTTATATAAATTAAACAAATTGAGTTTTTTCCCCCTAAGCACGTTTCAGACCACATTTGGTTTAACCGATTCCCTTTGCCGAAAGATTCTCCAGAACAAGTTTGGTTAAAATCCCTTCAACGGTACAGAAGGAGAAGGATCTTAAATGTTTTTCTCTATTTCCCCTAATGGGCCCCACCCATCTGCCCCAAAGAAGGGGGTCCACACACCTCAGTTTATACAAAATTGATTCTTTCGTCCCTAAGCATGCTTCAGACTGCATTTGGTTTAAATCCCTTCACTTATATAGTAGGAGAAAAAAACACCTCTATTTCCCCTATTGGGCCCTGTCCCTATGCCCACAGAGGGGCCACACCCTCCATTTATACCAATTTGAGTCTCCTTTGTCCAAAGATGCTCCAGACCAAATTTGGTAAAAATCCCTTCATCGGTACAAAAGGAGAAGGATCTTTGATGTTTTTCTCTATTTCCCCTAATGGGCCCCACCTATCTGCCCCTAGAAAGGGGCCCACACACCTTAGTTTATACAAAATTGATTCTTTTGTCCCTAATCATGCTTCAGACTGCATTTGGTTTAAATCCCTTCACTTGTATAGTAGGAGAAAAAAATCCTCTATTTCCCCTATTGGGCCCTGCCCCTCGGCCCCCAGAGGGGCTATCTCCGTTTATACAAACTTGAGTCTCCTTGAGAGTCCAAAGATGCTCTAGGACAAATTTGGTCAAAATCCTTCAATTGGTTGAGAAGAAGAAGATTTTTAAAGATTTACCTTTTTGGCCCCGCCCCTCTGCCCCCAGGGGGACCATACCCTCCGTTTATACAAAACTGAAAACCCTTTGGCCAATGATGCTACAGACCAAATTTGGTCAAAATCCACTGAGCCGTTCAGGACTAGTAGCGTTTAAAGGGAAAAGTTGACAGACGACGGACGCTGGGCCATGGGATAAATATAAGCTCACTTGGGCCCTTCGGGCCAGGTGAGCTAAAAATAAATGTAACGATTTCGGGTATAAATCCTGGCGGACATACAAAGGTTTCTGCAGGCCTTGCAAGGCTTTGTCAAGGCTCACCTGAAAGCAGCATCAGATTACTTGGTCCGACCTTATTTGATAGGATAAACGAACCACTGTACATGTGGTCCGACCGTTTACACCACACGTCTTGTGTTTTTGTGTGTCAAGCACCTATGGGCAATACGTACCATTAAGACATCACCTAAGTGTTGGATGCGGTTATACTTAACACTATGACAAAAATAAATTACCTAGACATACAGCAGCTTCGGGTCCGCTCGTCATTTTTCGAAACCTCGACATGATCCTTGTCTTCGCACGTTTCGTTGCGTCTCAAACAAATAAATCAGACTTAAATACAAGCTTAATTTTGCCTACTTGTACATGCCTCAACGTGAAGCGTTTTGCAGACTTTGATGTACCTAATACAAAAGTCCCATACCGGGTCATATTTCCGGATTTTTCATCTGGTTAAATAAATCACTCCATTCTAGCTTGGCAATATCTAATTTAAAAGTCAAGTGACCGAAAGAACACACTGTAAACATAACAAGAGGAAATTGATTAATATTGTTAATCATAAAAAAATCGGTTATAAGAACACTTAATGTCACTGTACCCAAATCGGGACACTTTTCCGATAAATATCAATGTCCTTTATACCATGCTATTAGTTCCAAAAATGTTTGTTCATTTTTCATGAACAGTTATCCACTTTATATTTCTATTACAAGTTGATATTTCGGGCGCTATCAGGGTTACGCAGGCCCTTGAACTGTACCCTGAAAGGGACACTTCCTGTATTATGGCTAATATTGGGGGATAAACATATTTAAAAAAGTATAGAGTCAACGGGGTTTTGATTAAATATCTTCTCCAAGCTAGCTTAAGCTTTGATAACATAGACTTTTGAATATGATATCCAAATAGGGAAAGTTTTGTTTTTGTCATTTAATATTCTTATCTTTTACATTGTCCATGTAACGTTAATTAGCAGCCAATAAGGCTTATTTAAGCATTAAACTGCCTTCTTTGGAAAGTTATTGTCCTATAATTCTCACAGGATTGCAGACAAATTGAATAACGCGCGTCATTTAGTCACGACTTCACAAACATGTTCTTCATATCAGTACGTATACACCCATTGGTTATCCGGCTTATAACTTATATATATTGATATGAGTTAACTATGTGCCATGTGTTTGGTGCTCAATTCCAAGAAGATCAGTCATGATAATAAAGCATTTATAAAAGGTGGTGTATTCTGGTCCCGGAGCCAGGTTAGTGTGCCCTATCGATAAGGATGTTTGTAAGGGTGGGGATTGTAATGCATTTTCATTTTTTTGTCAAATTTGCAATACATTGATCCAAAGTGATATTGTCTGGAGGACATGAAATGTTGTCAATGATCACAGACAATGACGAAAAGTTGAATTAAAGGTTCCTGGTGTAGGATTCTAACACATAGAAATGTTATATGAATATACTGGTAACACCGGTACCTGAAGGTGGATTTGAACGGAGTAAAACTTTGAAAATCTGGTCATATGAAAGAGATGGCCCTGAAAAAAAATATGAAAAAAATGTGTTTTCGAAGAATGACAATATAGTTTATCAGCCCCAATAATTCTCTCATAAATAGGCTTTGTCTCATTGGCGTATAACTCCAAGACAGCGAAAGACGTCCTTGGCATTACAACCCTGGAAGTCTTGTTAACTGAAATGTTTGGTTCGGTTTAATGTACATTTAAATGTATCCAGATAGTATTGAATCTATGGGAAAGAAAGAACAGTTCCCGCTACGTTGTTCAATAGGTATATCAAAGTTCTATGGAAAATCTCAGATTGCTATTGGATTTTTTTTTCCTTAAACGAGCTATCATTGAAGAAAAGTTTGTCATTTTTCCTTATCCTTTCGTAGCTGGAGCGGGAAAATACACGGCCAGACCGGTGTTCAACCTGAGACCATCCGAACTCTAGACGGACGCTCTACCAATTAGCCGACGATCCAGTCAAGTTCCGCTACAGTTTCACCCATCTCAATATCATCAAACTTATTTTGTTCATTCTTTTAGGCTTTCATTTTCATTCCCCTAAACAAGAAATATGCTGTTTCAATACTTTAAACGAAATGTCATCGGATCTTAAATTGCACGGTGTTGCTGTATCTCACTGTTCCTTCGAACAACCTTAAACAACCTTTCAAACACGACGTTACTGCATCGCATTGCAAATTCAGACACTGTTTATTTTTTAAGCTGTTCTTTGTTTCTGTTGCAGTTTCCTTATTGTAGGTTAATGTTTATCGTTCGGCAGTGAACTGCGGGAAATATCAATGTTCGTATAATATCACATCCTCTCTGACATTCTATTCTGTCTATTACTGTCCGTATTTGAGAAAAAATATCATACAATCAATAACCTTACACTTAGTATCCTGTACCTTAGACAACGAGAGGAACATTACACGTCGTATCCTGTACCTTAGACAACGAGAGGAACATTACAAATAGTATCATGTACCTTAGACAACGAGATGAACATTACACTTAGTATCCTGTACCTTAGACAACGAGAGAAATATTACACTTAGTATCCTGTACCTTAGACAACGAGATGAACATTACACTTAGTATCCTGTACCTTAGACAAAGATAGGAACATTACACTTAGTATCCTGTACATTAGACAACGAGAGGAACATTACACTCTGTACCTTAGACAACGAGAGGAACCTTACAAATAGTATCATGTACCTTAGACAACGAGAAGAACATTACACTTAGTATCCTGTACATTAGACAACGAGATGAACATTACACTTAGTATCCTGTACATTAGACAACGAGATGAACATTACACTTAGTATCCTGTCCCTTAGACAACGAGAGGAACATTACAAGTCGTATCCTGCACCTTAGACAACGAGAGGAACATTACAAGTCGTATCCTGCACCTTAGACAACGAGAGGAACATTACAAATAGTATCATGTCCCTTAGACAACGAGATGAACATTACACTTAGTATCCCGTACCTTAGACAACGAGAGGAACATTACAAGTCGTATCCTGTACCTTAGACAACGAGAAGAACATTACACTTAGTATCCTGTACATTAGACAACGAGAGGAACATTACACGTCGTATCCTGTCCCTTAGACAACGAGAGGAACATTACAAGTCGTATCCTGTACCTTAGACAACGAGAGAAACATTACACTTAGTATCCTGTACCCTAGACGACGAGAGGAACATTACACTTAGTATCATGGACCCTAGACAACCAGGGGAACATAACACTTAGTATCATGTACCATAAACAACGAGAGGAACATTACACTTAGAATCCTGTACCTTAGATAACGAGAGGAACATTACACGGAGGATCCTGTACCTTAGAAAACGAGAGGAACATTACACTTAGTATCATGTACCTTAGATAACGAGAGGAACATTATACTTAGTATCCTGTACCTTAGACAACGAGATGAACAGTACACTTAGTATCCTGTACCTTAGACAAAGAGAGGAACATTACACTTAGTATCCGGTACCTTAGACAACGAGAGGAACATTACAAGTCATATCCTGTACCTTAGACAACGAGAGAAACATTACCCTTAGTACCTGTACCTTAGACAACGAGAGGGACAGTGCACTTAGTATCATGTACCTTAGACAACGAGAGGGACATTACACTTAGTATCATGTACCTTAGATAACGAGAGGAACATTACACGGAGGATCCTGTACCTTAGAAAACGAGAGGAACATTACACTTAGTATCATGGACCCTAGACAACCAGGGGAACATAACACTTAGTATCATGTACCATAAACAACGAGAGGAACATTACACTTAGTATCATGTACCTTAGATAACGAGAGGAACATTATACTTAGTATCCTGTACCTTAGACAACGAGAGAAATATTCCACTTAGTATCCTGTACCTTAGACAAAGATAGGAACATTACACTTAGTATCCTGTACATTAGACAACGAGATGAACATTACACTTAGTATCCCGTACCTTAGACAACGAGAGGAACATTACAAGTCATATCCTGTACCTTAGACAACGAGAGAAACATTACACTTAGTACCTGTACCTTAGACAACGAGAGGTACATTGCACTTAGTATCATGTACCTTAGACAACGAGAGGGACATTACACTTAGTATCATGTACCTTAGATAACGAGAGGAACATTATACTTAGTATCCTGTACCTTAGACAAAGAGAGGAACATTACACTTAGTATCCTGTACCTTAGACAACGAGAGAAACATTACACTTAGTACCTGTACCTTAGACAACGAGAGGGACATTGCACTTAGTATCATGTACCTTAGACAACGAGAGGAACATGACACTTAGTATCCTGTACCTTAGACAATCCTGTACCTTAGACAACGAGAGGAACATTACACTTAGTATCATGTACCCTAGACAACGAGAGGAACATTACAATTAGTATCATGTACCTTAGACAACGAGAGGAATATTACACTTAGTATCCTGTACCTTAGACAACGAGAGGAACATTACACATCGTATCCTGTACCTTAGACAACGAGAGGAATATTACACTTAGTACCCTGTACCTTAAACAACGAGAGGAACATTACACGTCGTATCCTGTACCTTAGACAACGAGAGGAACATTACATGTTGGCAGTGCTGCGCCATATGGATGTAACGACTACATTGATAATGCAGGAATTTGTCAAGTCAAGGATGCAGTAATATCAATGTAATGCATTGTTTGACTCCATTAGTGATGACGTCATGGACACCGACATTACAACAGTAGAGAGTAGAGGATTGTATGTTATGAATAGTTTCTATACATAATTCATGTGCTTATTATTATTGTGTAATTTACAACTTCTTTGTGTTTTTTTAGACTGTGTTCATTACTAAATAAACACCTTTTAAAGTACAGAGTCCCATTTAACTTTAGAAAGACTTTTCCTTCAGCTCTTGTTCTACATTCCCATACAAGTGTTACCCAGCTGGATACGTAGTTAGCTCTTGTTCTACATTCCCATACAAGTGTTACCCAGCTGGATACGTAGTTAGCTCTTGTTCTACATTCCCATACAAGTGTTACCCAGCTGGATACGTAGTTAGCTCTTGTTCTACATTCCCATACAAGTGTTACCCAGCTGGATACGTAGTTAGCTCTTGTTCTACATTCCCATACAAGTGTTACCCAGCTAGATACGTAGTATTGGCTACCTAAATGCTATCAATAATGCAAATCTAAGAGAGATTTTTACGAGGGGTCTTAAATATCGAGAAACACCTACTGCTAATCGAAATGTAAATTTTAAGCATCTGATGATTCTATGGAAGATTAAGCAAGGTAATGAACATATTGAGTTGGATTGCTGTCAGCGTTGTTTAATCTCTCAGGTCCACCATTAAAAATAAAACGGCTTAAAACCCGAAATGATCACAAAACACAAGTCTGTTCTTCTTACTGTCCAAATCACATGATAGGTATATGTTTGTGTCTGCATACAAAGCATCTAATAACTGTCTTTGTCTGCAAACATTTTACATTTCTTGCTTCCATAACGAACTAGGATTGCTAGATACCAAAGGAAACCCTACCTATATAGTTGTAAATTATTAAGGAATATATTTTGTGAAAAGGCAAAACAAATGCCAAAATAAAACATACTGAGGATGAAATTGTGAGAATGATTGAGTTCCTGGTTGACAATATCTTTGTCAAATTTGGTGGCAGAATTTTCCTACAGACTATAGGCATTTTGATTGAAAAGAACTGTGCCCTTTTCTGGATTTGTTTTTGTTTTCACATGAAACTGAATCTAGTGATGTTTTTTTTAGGACTGGTTACAAAACAGTAGCCAAGTCGTTCAATTTCACATAACGATTTATCGACAATGTGGTGTCTTTGAATAAAAAATAGTTAATTGACAACATCGATCATATGCACCCTCCTGAGCTTAAATCAAGGTCACTACAAACTCTCCCCTTTTCAGCTGCTTCCCTTGATCTTTTCCTTTCTTGATAGTAACATCACTGAACCATTACCTACACAACCCGTAGTTGATTCGGTACTCCAAACTTGCTGCAAATATCATGACTTAGCTGATAGATGTCAACTTCTGACGGAGATGCAGGTTGATGAAGACAACGGACAACTATTATTGTCGCTATCATGAACTCATAGGAAAATAGCCTATTACTTTTGTGTGGTTTGAAGGTTGGTGTTTTTTTTATTATGCTCATTGGTGTTCCTTGTGGTTTTGTGGTCACTACCCGAGTTCACGCTGTGATGACGTAACATTACTTGGCGTTCACCTATTATTACATGTCGGGTGTAATCGATGAAGCAGAAGACGCTTACCATTCAGGAACACCTGGTCTTATTCTCCTTATTCTTTTTCAACCGTCTTCGTGTAAATATTTTCAATGCTCATAGTTTGCCTTCGTTTTATCGATTTCGAGTTCGAATTATTATTTTGTTGACACTTCTGACCTTAAGTACCAATCAGTATTAAGGTAAAGGGGTTTTATTTTTACTGCGAAGAAGACTTTCATTCTGAGTGTTTACTTAACTTGGGAGTTATCTCCCCTCAATAAAGAAGACGAAGGAAACTTAAAGGATTCTTTTTTTTGCTAAGAGTAACTTTCCCCGTCAAGTTTTTCATATGCTTCGTGGCCCATAAACTGGACCTTCATTTAGATACTGTTTTTGTATAATTCCTGTATAACAACATTTGTAAAGTGTAGGATCTGTAATGTATAGGTTCCTAGTTCAATCTCTGCCGTTTTCTTGTTTTCTCGTTTTAATTTCATTTTCTAAAAAAATCAAATTCCGAACAACTACAGTTCTGTCAAATGCATGGCAACATGTGATTTTTAGGAAATATGTATTTAAAAAAGTCTTGAACGATTATTTTACAATACTGACAGTGGTAATAATTTAGTCTAAACTGCTGGTACCCTTTAAATCAAATGGATGAAAACACAAACTGGTGGAATAAATTATTTACTTTGCTTGGCTTTCTACATCGACAATATTTTTTTTGAATATTTCCGTCTTCGTATTTTCTACTAATATACATGGAGCTTGTTGTCCCTGCAGGTAGGGCGTAAGTATTGTACCTGATGATCGTAAGAGGCGACTAAATTTGGGATTTTATATTTTCTCTTCTTTCTAAACAACTTTCTTCTTCTTAATGTCTCCCTTGACAATGCCTCACTTTTGGCCTTTAGTTGAGCGTTCGCCCCTCTGAGGAAGGCTTTTGGTTCTGTTCCCTGGCCGAGACATACCATAGTCTGTAAAAATGGTAGTTTCTACTCCTGTTTAACGCTCAGCAATTTAGGAATGGGACGACTGGTTCGCCCGTTGTCAGTATAATGTGACCGGGTGGCCTGTCCTGCTGGGAGTCTTCGGCAGCATGTTTCAGTGAGTTAGCACTATAAAGTCGGCATCAGTTCCGCGCTATCACAATTAAGGAGACAAACACGAACGTATCGCCGCCTCCCAAAACACAAACGCATACACTACACGCATTCATTTTGTACACAGGGGAGGCCGTCCTTAAAGGACCATAGCTGTTGATAGGACGTTAAACAAACCAAACCAAACATAGAGCATGTACATTCATGAAACTAGGGCCACTCAATCATTTAACTGAAATTATGAGATACCATAAAGCTTCTAATGAAAAGACAATTAAAAGAAATGTATATCATAGTTTTATTATATGAGAATACAACTGTCTCTGTTGAAAGAAAGTCGTGTAAGTAATGCGTCATATTTCAGAGTTACCTCCCTTCCATCTGACTGACTCTTTCAGTATGGGACTGAAAAAAAGATAAACATCGACACATACGTATTTTAGATAGGACGTGAAATATAAATATTGTTGGTATCCATATAACTTCAGGGGAAAGTCCTATAATACTTTAGTACTCTGTGCCGGTGTCCAGTTGACTTGTGGAACATTGGTTTCTTGTTCTGTGTCTGAGTGACCTCAACAAGGGTGAAATGTAGTGTCAGTGTCCAGGTGACCTGAGGAAAGGTGATATATGGTACAGCTGCCGAACACGTTTCAACACCACATAGTTTGTTTTTTTAACAGAAGATTAATGGAGTCTTCCCCTACCTTGAGGTGTGACAGCGAAATATCCAGCCTAAGGGGTGATGCTTTTTGGCTGTCTAACCCGAGGCTGAGTGACAACCAAAAAATCACCCCGAGGGTTGGATATTTCTCTGTCACACCCTCAAGGTAGGGATTTTTTTTTCTCCCATCCTATTATTTCAGTCACACTCCACCGACAGCAGTCTGTTTGCAAACAAAAAAAACCCATGTGGGGTATGAATATCGCCATTCACTTTTGATGACGTCACAAGTACCGGTGACACATTTTAATGACGTCACAATTGAACACGTGCTTACCGGCACGAGGTTTTCTCCTCCAAGGGGGTCACTAACAGAATCTTCCCCTACTTTGAGTGTATGACCGAGAAATTCCCAACCCGAGGGGTGATGTTTTTTGGTTGTCTAAACCGAGGCTCTGCCGAGGGTTAGACAACCAAATCAATCACCCCGAGGGTTGGGATTTCTCTGTTACACCCTCAAGGTAGGGGATGATTATTTTCTCCCATCCTATTATTTCAGTCACAATTCCTCCGGCAGTTGTCTGTTTGTAAACAAAAACACATGTGGGGTATGAATATCGTCATTCACTTTTGATAACGTCACAATTACCGGTGACACATTTTATGACGTCACTATTGAACACGTGCTTATCGACACGAGGCTCTCTCCCCCTAGGGGGCGACAAGCTGATCTTTCCCGGCTAAAACGGGAGATACACCTGTGAAGGGTGGGAGAACAGCTTATCTTTCCCGGCTAAAACGGGAGACACACCTGTGAAGGGTAGGAGAAATCAACTGGGCACATGGCTTGCTGAATGACGGGGCATCTTAAAGTACGAGTATAAGGTATGAGGCGGTAAATGTAATCAGCGTAATGTGCGAGGCGGGCAGGAGAAAAGTGAGCTGACCGGTGAAAGTGTACATACAACTATTGACAGAAGAACGAACCAAGGTGTGAGTTGTAAGACAGAGGAAAAGAAAGACAAAGTGTTTAGAACGAAGTGGAAGAATACTCGGAGTATGATATGTGAGACGGAAAGGCAGAAGAAGACCTGGAGTGGTGCAGAGTAACAGATGAAACGGAAGACGTGTTAAATGTGAGGCGGAGAATACTAAGATCTTGGTGTGTGAGGTCGAAACTAGACACAAACATCGGGTACGAAGAAGGAAAAGACATTTAATGTTATATTTTAGACGAAAAGAGAACAAAGTGTGATCAGTGTGATGGAAAAACCCCGGTATATGACGTTTGGGGCAATAGCAGTATGGCGTATCAAACTAAAGGAATCACAAACTTGATCGGCGAGATGACAGAAAAGTCGGCAGATGAGCTAAGAGCCTATGGATAACAGACAGTTTGAGGCGGAGGTGGAGTTGACCTAAATTGTAAGGTATAAATAAGGCTAGTCCGAATTATTCTGACGTTTTATCAACTTTTTTCATTTCGGTCTGTCGTCGATTAACGTCAGAACTCCGGCGCTCTATAATATGCGGGAAATATGCGACCCGCACCCGGAGCGCACTTCAAACTGATATTTTAGAAACAAATCGTCACTTTCACACACATGTCGCACATGGATCGAAAGATCTATTCTTTATGCACTAGGTGGTATCAATAACATGTTTCAAAGATTATAACGAAAAGTATTTTCCAACGTTTTCTATACCAACTTATGTTTTTAATGAAAATTAGGCCATGAGCAATGTCACATGACTTGACGAGATCTCGCGTTACCGAAGGTATTTCCCAACGTTATGACGTAGGCAGGCGATATTTTAGTCACGTGGCATTAGAAGGCGGCCGGGCTCTCAAAAAACTAAAGTAAAACAGAGTAAGTTTGAAAAAATATATTTTTAGTGATTGCATTGGTTGTTTGAGGCATGTTATGTATGTTAATCTTGCGCATAAACAATAGATCATTCAATCCATGTGCGACATGTGTGTGAAAGTGACGATTTGTTTCTAAAATATCAGTTTGAAGTGCGCTCCGGGCGCGGGTCGCATATTTCCCGCATATTAAAGAGGGCCGGAGTTCTGACGTTAATCGACGACAGACCGATATGAAAAAAGTCGATAAAACGTCAGAATAATTCGGATTAAAATAAGGCGAGAATGAGGCGAAATGAACATAAAGTGCGACTATTGATACGAAAGAAGACATTAGATGTGATGTGTCAGGAGGCAGGAGGCCTCAAGTGTGAGATCTGACACGGGAGTAGATCTAGACCCACAATGAGGCCTTGTGTGTGAGGCGTAAGTAAGATGACAGCGTTACTTTTTTAATATTTGTTGGAAGTATGTTTTTAACAATCTAACATGTCGCTGTTGAACGATATCATCTGTCGTATTTAGAAGTTGATTGGATATTTCATGGCGTTCGTTTCCCATTGCCGTGGCAACCAACAGTTGGGACCTTCTAGCTCTACAACAGTTGACTGGACGTCGTTGAGAAGATCTGTTGTACGATCTCTAATGTGTCAACTTTAGGTCATTCTTTGTCACTCATAGAAGCTTAAATGTGTCATAGGAAACGTAATCTTTGACATAGGTCTGCTGTCAGTAATCGTGTGTTTGTCGCAGCATATGAGGCCATTGGAAAGCCGTCGTTGTAACTACTTATTGTTCAAGCAGCCGAATAAGTAGCATGTGGCCTAAATATCACTCTATGCGTGACAACTAGACTAATGGTACAGCACTTACACAGCGGATGTAGCTATCTTCGCTCTTTTCTTCTTACAAACTAGATCCACTTCAAAACAACTTGGCGATAACATATGACTTTTCACAACCTGAATTGTTCGTGACGCCGTGGAAGATATGAGATTGCACGAGTAGATGGGCTATAAGTGTTTAGCGACACCCACACCGCTCCACTATCAAGTTAGGTAGCGAGCTCGTCAAGATATTCCCGCTCGTGTCATAGTACATCACCCGCAATGGCGCAGTTTGGATGGCGCTGCAGTTGGTACTGTCCGATGTTGTTTGGTCATGTAACCCGCGTTGCACGACTGGGCATCCTCCAGAACATATTCCTGTGGTGAATGCGGCAGGATACAAAATCCAGTCGCTCCAACCTATTTCGTGAAAACTGAACAGTAAGTCTGACTTGCAACATATATCCCGTCCAGTACATATACCTTCGTCACCTGAAGTTTGGCGTCGGGACCGAATGAATGTCTCTACCTTAGTATGCATGATCAAGAACGGCCGTGTCTGACTCAGGCGTCTTTTGGGTCGTTTACGGGGTTGCATTACTCGCATGGATCCCTTCCGTTTGCCTCCTTTTGATTTTCGCCGTCGCCTACTTCCATGAACAAGAACGAGCTGCACATGCCGTCCACACCCGCGACAATGGACATGCAGTCTTATAATCTGATCTTCTGAAAGCATTGCATTTTCTACAAGTTGTTTTGGAATTCCTAGTTTAAACCAATGTGTTTTCTTTACATCCGCCCTCAGTGTCGTCACTATTTCACCGGGAGTTCCGTCCTCACTAACATTCGACAACACAATTATTAATTTACACCTTGACCTTCGTGGTTTCTTTTTTAAGTTAGAGCGTCTGTTCTTTTGCCTACAAGATGACCGACCTCGTTTTTTTGAACGTGTGTACCTAAGCTTCACCAGAACGTTGGCACTCTTCACTTCGAGTTTCCTCCCCTGACTGTCTCGGACCACTTTGAACTGTATTATGTTCTCGTCACGGAAGCTTTCTGTAACAGACAAGAATGACATATACTTAGATGAGTGAATTAAAGAAGGTGGAATTCATATAATGGACCGTTTGGTCAAACTGGGACTGTATAGCTTTGGTGTGGTCTCCATATATATATATATCAAATTCCCATATAAGGATCTAACGTATCCTTCTATACTGATACTGAACAGTAGATTAATACATGCATTAAGTGGTCTTTTTTTAATCAATTCTTTGAAGTTTTTTTTACGCACAGATTTGATCTGTACAATCTGTCAAATTGATAAATTCTTTTATAAGCTTGTTGAAAGCAGAGAGTCAGTTATTTACCAATAACATTTATTAGATTTTTTTTTATATATAAATAATAATGCCATTCCAATACAGTTACTTGTGAAGTTATATTAAATAGAAATACACGCCTATACAATTTTCATATAATAATGAAATTGGTTGTGCTTTATAGTTCAGTCAAAATATTTCACATTAGAAGAGGATATTTGGTAAATGTATGATATCTGTATTTCCCCTAAATTAACGTCGCACGTGCCTAAGTAATCCATATCCTCTTACCAGGACACGAGAATCATGTGGCACCTTAGTGCATCAGTGTATTATTCCCCCTGTGCGTTGTAAATGTTGTAATAGGGTACCTTATTCATTGTTGAACCACCTAACATACTTATCGTATCATCATGGTATCGTTGTTTCGTGCTGATAAAACGATCTGTGCTTAGGTCATGGTGTAGAACTACACTAAAATTACCAAAAGGTTAATATTGTAAATCACCTTCTGTGACCATTTAAAGCACTGTCTTTTGACTGTCATCAACAACTGGTATTATAAAGCATGTGTTATTCTCTCAGCTCTACACTGCTCGTATACGTAACTCCTACTGATAATATCATTGTAATGAGGGAAATGTGCAAAGTGTTGCAAACACTATCTCAAAAGGCGGTCATTGTGAAACTTGGTTCAAGCATCGACAGGTAATCGAGTTGATTCATGTGAAGAAACTTGTAGAGATACTCACTCCAAAACGCGCTACTAGCCAAATATCATCGGGCGGTTAGGTTACACAGATATACGGTCTTTTACCCTCTTGGCTATTATTCAGTAGGTGTGATACTTTCTGATCCTTTGATCATGAAAACTATCAAAGTAATTTAATTCAACACACCTGATTGACATTCATCCCATAATTATATAGACTAACCATAATGACATTTACATTCGTGGTTATTCAGAAAATACATTTGACCCCTATGTACTGTACAAATGGTCAAGGTCATTCATTCGAACAAAATTGATAGGCATTCCTCCAGCAGCCTTCTTGCCAATTATCAAATTACATGTATCTTGACCTCTTTTTTAAACTGAGCTTCACTTCATTGAAAATTAATCAGGATTGAATTTTATCGCAATAAAATCTCTATCATATTTTAGATCTTTATAAGCGACATATCTATTTTCATTTTATAGTACGCATAAATTGTATTTTAATTTTGTATGACGAGTTATATTAATTTATTTAAGTATTTCGCAAGAAAAAATATTTTTAGAATAAAAATTTACCAAGGATACATTGAATTGAATTACATTTGAATTAATAATATCAATATGATTTCAAATTTACGTTTCTTTTAAACTGATTTTAACAAGGTATATGTAACACCACGTTCGTTTGAGTAGGGAGCTGTTCCACGCAGATAAAAAATACCCAATGATTTGTCGGAGGAGTACAGGAAGAACAATAATAATATAAGTTTACCAACTAAAAGCATACCTGCCGGTTCTGAAAAGCTGATAACTTCCAGTAGTTCGGCGTAGTAATCTCCCCTTGGTGGGTCGGTCGTCGTGTCATCATCATCATCAATAATGTTAAACAGTTTACATGCAGACACCTTCCTTATAGGTGAAGTAGCAGAAAATGGTCGGTCGTTGTAACCCAGTCCGCCAAGAATTCTGCTCTTGATAACCTGTGTTGCCTTGAACTTCTCGAGCCGAGACATGTAGCTCTCCATGTTAGTCTGGGGTGAAGAGCAGTCACGGACACACGTTGCCATGACCAGTATACTGGTCAGCGCGCACACAACAGGGGTCACGTGACCATACATCACTAGTTTGTCGGGATTGTGCCGGCTGCACAGCGTGGGGAGGCCGTAGGGTTACTGATGGAGCTGTAGACCGACTGTTCCTACCGTTTCTTGTGTAAACACAAGCCTTGGCAGTGAGTATAAAAATACCTCCGATTCGCTAGCGCCGGGCATAATTGTCGCTAATTTATCATAAATACCTATCACTGCCACTGACTCGGAGCTGCACTCCACAGACGGACTCCCGCACAGCTCTTGCGGCCAGGAGTGTTTAACTGCACGATTTCATAAGTGACTAAAAGTTTAACTTGCTCTCTATGCCAAAATACCTATTGCGCGTACATTTGGTTAGAGAAGGCTTCACCACCTGTTACTGCTCACAGGCCCGCGGGAGGGCAAGATAGATCACCCACGGGCCACAGAAATAGTGTACAGATGTGTACATGTGCATGCCAATGTAACTACAAATATTCCAGTTAACCCTCAGAGTAAAACCCGCTGACACCAATTCAACGCGAGAACAGCTGAAGTGAAGGAAATGTAACCTGCACAAGTCCTCTGATGTGATAATTCGATGAAGTCACATTCCACGTAGCTAGGAGACCTTTTCATCATTTGTTCATGTAACATGTCACTCTACATGCGCGGATATATATAAAAGACATGCTTATTGTGTTTCGTGACATCAGTATCCTCCTAGACAGTTGTGTCCGGTTCCGTGACCTAAGTTACATGTGAATGAGATGGGAAGTGGATGAAATAGGTAAAACAATATTAAGTGGAATCTTATTATTAACTTAATAGGTAATTTGTATTTTAGGTAGTTTCAAACTGCAATGTGCAAGGCGGATATACTCAGTAACTGTTCAACAAACAAATGCATTCTAAACTACAGTTGTCATTGAAAAAACTGTAAATGTTCATCCTAAACTACATGCAGTTGTCATTTAAGGAACTGTAAATGCGCGTCCTAAACAACACTTGTCATTGAAGGAACTGTTAATGTTTATCCTGAACTACAGTTGTAATTTGATGTTCATCCTAAACTAGTTGTCATTGAAGGAACTGTCAATGTTCATCCTAAACTACAGTTGTCATTGAAGGAACTGTAACTGTTCATCCGAAACTACAATTGTCATTGAAGGAACTGTTAATGTTTATACTTAACTGTAGTTGTAATTTAATGTTCATCCTGAACTACAGTTGTCATTGAAGGACCGGTAAATGTTCATCCAAAACTACAGTTGTCATTAAAGGAACTGTTTAAGCTCATCCTAAACTACAGTTGTCATTGAAGGAACTGTTAATGTTCATCCTAAACTAGTTGTCATTGAAGGAACAGTTAATGTTCATCCTAATCTACAGTTGTAATAGAAGGAACTGTTAATGTTCATCCTAATCTACAGTTGTCATTAAAGGAACTGTTTAAACTCATCCTAAACTACAGTTGTCATTGAAGGAACTGTTAATATTCATCCTGAACTACAGTTGTAATTTGATGTTCATCCTCAACTAGTTGTCATTGAAGGAACTGTTAATGCTCATCGTTAACCACAGTTGTCATTGAAGGAACTGTAAATGTTCATCCTTAGCTACCATTGTAATTTAAGGTTCATCCTAAACTACAATTGCCATGGAAGGAACTGTTTAAGTTCATCCTAAACTACAGTTGTCATTAAATGAACTGTTAATGTTCATCCTAAACTACAGTTGTAATTGAAGGAACTGTTAATGTTTATCCTAATTTAGAGTTGTCATTGAATGAACTGTTAATGTTCATCATTAGCTACACTCGTCATTGAAGGAAATGTTAATGTTCATCCGAAACTTCAGTTGTCATTGAAGGAACTGTTAATGTTTATACTTAACTGTAGTTGTAATTTAATGTTCATCCTGAACTACAGTTGTCATTGAAGGACCTGTAAATGTTCATCCTGAACTACAGTTGTCATTAAACGAACTGTTTAAGCTCATCCTAAACTACAGTTGTCATTGGAGGAACTGTTAATGTTCATCTTTAAACACAGTTGTCATTGAAGGAACTGTAAATGTTCATTCTAAACTACAGTTAGAATTTAATGTTCTTCCTAAACTACAGTTGTCATTGAATGAACTGTAAATGTTCATCCTTAACTACCATTGTAATTTAAGGTTCATCCTAAACTACAGTGGTCATGGAAGGAACTGTTCATGTTCATCCTAAACTACAGTTGTAATAGAAGGAACTGTTAATGTTTATCCTAATTTACAGTTGTCATTGAATGAACTGTTAATGTTCATCCTAAGCTACAGTTGTCATTGAAGAAAATGTTAATGTTTATCCGAAACTTCAGTTGTCTTTGAAGGAACTGTTAATGTTTATACTAAACTTTAGTTGTAATTTAATGTTCATCCTGAACTACAGTTGTCATTGAACGAACTGTTTAAGCTCATCCTAAACTACAGTTGTCATTGAAGGAACTGTTAATTTTCATCCTAAACTACAGTTATCACTGAAGGAACTGTTAATTTTCATCCTAAACTACAGTTGTTATTGAAGGAACTGTAAATGTTCATACTTAACAACAATGTTTGTATTTAGGGAACTGTCAATCTCAAATGTACATCCAAACAACCAGAATAAGGTTTGTATTGAAAACACAAATGCCAATACACATCCTTTCCAACGAGGTTTATATAGAGGGTATTGTGAATCCCAACTGATTATCACCAACACCGATGGATGTATGGAGGGCGCTATAAATCAATCTACACTATAGCTGAGTGCTCTTTGTTGTATGGAGTATAACGGTGAAATGAAAGGATCAATATGACAACGAATGATTGACCATTATACGACAGTAAACCAAAAGTGGACAGAATCATTTCAACCTCATTGACCAACACCAAGCCATTGAAATGTAATGTCTTTCCTCACTCAAAGAGACGTTATCGCAGTCATTGACATCGACATTACAACAGACCATCCGAATGTTTACGGAAAATCTAGAGGAACCATGCTGGAATTACACTGCATTCCCTTCATCTCCCTTAATTACGAACATTTCAAGACAATTCAAGCGTCTTCCTTGCGACTTTAGAAACTAGCTTGGAGACCTTTTAAAATTATGGATGTTTTGGCACACATTCGAATCTTTATATCTGTTCGCACGGATAGTCATGAGTCTGGTTAATCGGAATATTTAAGGAATTTCGAGTATGCCAACATGGCATTAGATGACATTAAAACCAGTAAAATTTGCACCGAAGCTAGCACACTACTGTACTTCAGGTAGAATAATATCTCTAGTAATAATTGCCCTACAGCAAGTATAAGCTATTACAGCTTCATTTAGATGTTATAGGAATGGCATGTTATTGTTTTACATCTTGATACAACTAAGGGTCTGTTGGACACGTAGTTACTAGAGATGTAAATATTATCCATAATGGATAACTATGAGAGCAATTTTGAAGGGTTCAAAGTATCGAGGGACTCGTACAAGCAATTGGGATATCAATCTCAAGTTACTAATGAAGTTCTTGGATGACTTCGTCAAACACATCTCCAGCATACACGCAGGCATACACACATAGGGAGATATTAGCCAGGTGGCATATGACTAGTAGTTAGCGCCTGATAAGGCAGCTCCTGCGAATTCCCAAAATTGTATTGATTAATGTATATGCTAATAGTATATCTATGTACTGTAAAATACTTTTGAGTGGCTTATGTTAGCCAGATAGAGCGCTATATTAAAAGTTGTATGCTATGAAACAACTGACAAAATACAGGCTCAAATTGACCTTCAGAGTGGTTGAAATATATTGGGTCTACCATTTTAAAATCAATTAACAGCTTGAAATTCTAAAAGGTCACAAAACAAAGTTAACTTTCTAGGACATCCAAATCATGCTCGACAATCTGCATATGCTAAGCACGTGTTTGCGTTGGTAGACAAATAAACAAAATCAAAATAACTTTATCCTTATCTACCGAAACTGGAGCAAAGCCATTTCCTGCTGTACAAAAACAACATGGCCAGCTTGATAACCAGGGAAATCCATGCTGATGCATTTCGTATTTTTTGAAAAACTAAATACTAGTAATCATACTTTGTCATCGATTTTTCGCAATACACGTTAACGATGAGGATATTGACTTACGTTTGAATTAGATACCTTAACTTCGCAAGAATCAATTTAAATACCGTTTTATCACTGGTTCTGCTTGTTGCTGAGCCAAGTCATTATCCAATTGTTTTACTACAATTAATCAATGTCATTAAACTATTATTAACATCGTATTGCTACCCTTCATGCTACATAAGTTATGTAAATGAAATGTAGTGATTGTATTTTTCTTGTCAATATTGAAATTCTTTCCTCAAAAATATTTGAGAACATTTAACTTTCTAACTTGGCACACAGCCATGCATTATATTTAACTGAAGGAACGTCTTCACTCTCCTATTATTAAATATTTCTTTTCAGAGAAAGGCGACCAGCGATACACATTGAACCGATCTAGCTATTCCTCAAAATCAAATTAAATACGAATTAGAAAAGGATGTTTCAGTTAATTTGTCAGAACTTGTAAAACATTTCAAAACAGTGGAAAAACCTATGATAAATGCAACCGATACAGAATTTGACGTAGAAATAAACACTTAAGTTAATAGCAAACTCATGTAACAAATACGCAGATAGAGATATAACAATCCCAGATATCAATTCCTCCCTAATTCTAATGGCGCTAAAGGCTGTGGGCCAGACACGGTAATGCAATAAGTAAGTAATGTTATATCGAACCACTTAATGTCAGTAATGATTGATAATTTAGCTAAATTGTTTAACTACATTTTCATAAGTGAAATCTATCCAGAAATGTGGAATCACTATCTATCATTACGTGATTTTCTGAAGGGTAATAACAGTTTGCTATCAGTAGTTATAGGGGTGTGTCAATTAAAGGTTTCATGCAAAAATGATTGAAGATGAAAATTAAAGCTTCAGGTGTAGTTACACTGCAGACTGAAATATTATTTTCCTGCTATGCTGAATGACTCTACAATATTGGGCAAACCCCCACCACCAACTTTAACAGGTAAACATTTATACGTGCAACAACATACTCGTTGTTTAGGTTTCTTTAGTAACAAGCACAACAACCAAGGAGAGGGGACCTGGTCTCTTCGCATTTTGATGAGCAATATTGTATAACATGGATATTCTCTTTCGTGGTTAAAGTCATTCAGATCGTTTCTTGGTACA